CTAATTTTTCCAACACTATTTATTGAAAGCTCTCTTTTCTCTGTTGAATTGCTTTACATCTGGGTCAAAAATCAGTTGGGCGTATTTGTATGGACATGGTCATAGGCCCTCTGTTTCTTCCCATCGCTCTACCTGTCTGTCTTTCTGCCAATACCTCACAGTCTTGATTACCGAAATTATATCCTAAGTCTCAAAATAAGATAGGCTGATTCCTCTCGTTTTATCTGTTGTTTTTCAAAATTGTTTTTATTCTTGTGAGTCCTTTGCCTTTCTATCTAAATGTTAGAATAATCTCTATTTCTACAAAAAAAAAAAAAGGTCTTGCTAGCCTTTCAATGGGAATTTTGTAAAACCTGTTTACCAATGTGGGGAGAATTTACTGTATTGAGTCTTCCAACCCATTAACATGGTCAGTCTTGCCATTTGTTTATATCTTCTTTTATTTCTTTCATGAATGTTTTGTAGTTTTCAACATACAACTTCTGCATATTGTCAGTTTTACACCTGGGGCATTTTTGAGTGACTGTAAATGGTACTGGTGTTTGTTTGTTTGTTTGTTTTTGAGACAGGGTCTTTATCCTTGAGGCCAGAGTGCAGTGGTGTTATCATAGCTCACTGCAGCCTCAACCTCCCGAGCTCAAGCAATCCTCCCACCTCAGCCTCCTGAGTAGCTGGAACCACAGGCGCATGCCACCATGCCTGGCTATTTTGTTGTTGTTGTTGTTTGTTTGTTTTGTTTTTTGTTTTTGTATTTTTGTAGAGTTGGAGATCTCTCTTTGTTCCCCAGGCTGGTCTCAGACTCCTGGGCTCAAGCAATCCTCCCACCTCGACCTCCCAAAGTGCTGGGATTACAGGCATGCACCACTATGCGTGGCTGGTATTTTATTTATAATTTCAGTGCCTACATGGTCATTGCTAGAATATACAATTGTAGTAAATACAATTGAATGTTGTATGTTTTCCACCCTGCAAACTTGCTAAACTCTCTTTTTAGTTCTAGGAGGGTTGTGTTTTGTTGTTGTTGTTTGTAGATTCCTTGGGGTTTTCCCTGTAGACAACATGTCATTAGCAAACAGGGACAGTTTTCTTTCTTCCTTTCTAATCTGTTTGCCTTTTATTTCCTTCTCTTGCCTATTGCACTGGCTAGGACTCCCCGCACTACGTTAATTAGCAGTAGTGAGAGCAGACGACCTTCCTGTGACAATCTTAGACACCAAGCAGTCAGTCTTTCACCATTAAGTACGATCGGCTCCTCTGTATCTGTGTGTTCCATATCCATATATCTAACCAATCACCAATCAGAAATATTTTAAAAACAAGAAAAACAATACAAATAGGTAAACAATACAGTACAGCAACTCTTTACATAACATTTACATTGTATTAGGTATTCTAAGTAATCTAGAGATGATGTAGCATGTACAGGAGGATGTGCATAGGTTATATGCAAATACTACACCATTTTATATAAGGAATTTGCGCATCCTTGGATTTTGGCACCCTTGTGGGGCGTCCTGGAACCAATCCCTCAGGGACACCAAGGAACAACTGTATAATGTTGGCTGTAAGGTTATGGTTGATGCTTTTAATCAATTTGAAGAAGTTCTTCTCCATTCCTAATTGTATGAGTTTTCTCATGAACATGGGTTGAATTTTGTCAGATTTTTTTATGAATTAGTTGACATGATCATATGATTTTTATTCTTTAGCCTGTTGATTGGACATTACATTGAGTGCTTTCCAACTATTGAACCAACCTTATATCCCTGGAATAAACCCCACTCAATCTTGATGTGCAATTATTTTTACATATTACTGAATTCTACTTGCTATTTCATTAGTGATTTTTGTATCTAGATTCATGAGGGATGTTGGCATGTAATTTTTTGTTGTTGTTCCTTGTCTGCATTTGGTATCAGGGTAATACTAACTTCATAAAATGAATGGGGCCCAGGTGCAGTGGCTCACGCCTGTAATCCCAGCACTTTGGGAGGCCGAGACAGGCAAGTCACTTGAGGCCAGGAGTTCAAGACCAGCCTGGCTAACATGGGAAAACCCTGGCTCTACTAAAAATGCAAAAAATTAGCCAGGCTTGGTGGCCTGCACCTATAATCCCAGCTACTCAGGAGGCTGAGGCAGGAGAATTGTTTGAGCTCAGGAGGCGGAGGCTGCAGTGAGCCGGGATCACACCACTGCACTCCAGCTTAGGCGACAGAGTGAGACTCCATCTCAAAAAAAAAAAAAAAAAAGAATGGTAGTGTTCCCTCCTCTTCTGTTTTCTTGAAGATATTGTTAGAATCATGTTGACTTTTTAAACATTTGGCAGAATTCTCTATAAGTGTTTAGAACCATCTTGGCCTGGACATTTCGTCTTGGGGAGTTTTTAAATTACAAATTGACTTTTGCTATAAGTTGTTTAAATTACCTCTTTGATATTGAATGAGTTGTAGTACTTCATGCTTCTCTAGGAGTTGGTCCATTTTATTGAAGGATGTCAGAGTAATGTGTGTAGAGGCATTTGTAGTGTTCCCTTATTATCCTTTTGATGCCTGCAGGGTCTGTAGTGATGTTCCCTCTTTCATTCCTGATATTGACAATCTGTGTCTTCCCTCTCATTGTTTCTTTGTCAGTCTTGCTAGAAGTTTGACAATTTATTATTTTCAAATACCTAGCTCTGTTTTGTTGATTTGCTGCATTGTTTTTCTGTTTTCTGTTACCGGGATTTCTATTCCCCTATCTTTGTGATTTCCCTCCTTCCTTTCTTTGCTATCATTGTGGGTTTACTTTGCTCTTCTTTTCCTGAGTTCTCATGGTGGGATCTTGGCTGATTGAGTTGAGATTTTTCCTCTCTTCTAATGGAAGCCCATAATGCTATAAATTTCCCTCTCAGCATGGCTTTAGTTGTGTCCCACAGCTAAATTTTGTGTTGTATTTTCATTTTTATTGAGTTCAATGTCTTTTTAATTTTCCCTTGAGACTTCCTCTTTGACCCTTAAGTTATTTAGAAGTATGTTGTTAAGTTTCCACGTGTTTGGAGATTTTTCTACTATCTTTCTGTTATTGATTTCTACTTTGATCCTCGTGTGGTCAGAGAACATACTCTGTGTGGCTTCAGTTCCTTTAGATTGGGTGAGATTTCCTTTATAGCCCAGGATATGGTCTATCTTGGTACATGCTCTGTAGGCGCCTGAAATGAATGTAGCGCTCTGCTGCTGTTGGGTGAAGTGGTTTATAAATATTCATCATTTGATGGACTTCTAAATTTATCTCAAGACTCTGAGATCATTCATTCTCAAAGGTTATGTGATACACCACCTTTGCCAAAGAATTCCTAAGTGATCTAAACCCCTGCTGAGTTCACCAAGTGGCCTGTAAAACCTATGATGATTCTTGTTGATAGGAGCCACCTTCCCCCACTAGCAGATGTGGGACTTTCTTCAGGTGAGGGCCTCGAGCTGGCACCAGTTCAACCTATGGCTGTACGAAAATTTTCTGGCTGACATTTTTACGCTTGTAGCTTCAAGAGATATAATAAAACATCATTTTTCTTCTTCTTATCAAGTCATAGAATGCTAAAGCCAGAGGGAATCTAGGATCATCTGGTCTACCCTCTCATTTGACAGGTGAAGTAATGAGGTGTTGCAAAGTTAAACTGATTAGTTTCTTTTAATTTTTTAAATGAATTATAGAAATTATAGAAAATGCATAAGAAAAAAAGGGAAAATGCATAAGATAGAGGGAAGCAAACTTTTTAAATAAAATGTATATAAAACTTATAACCAAAGATGACTACTATTATTATTTTGGAGTATACCCTCCCAATATGTTTTCAAAAGCAGGATCCCTATTAGTGCTTCAAAACCTTTTTTAATTTTTTTGTACTTTAACAACAGACATGAACATTTTTCAAAATATTATTTCTAATAGCAACATATCATTCCAGATGTATGTCTAAAGATAGAGTTTTCTCATCATTTATTTAACGAATCTCCATCGGGTGGGCGTGCAGGTTGTTACAGTTTTCTCTGTGTTAAATAACAGTGTGATGAACATCTTTTGTGTACATGCATGATGATTTCCTAGAAATGGAGCCCTGGGTCAGTGCTTGTGAACATTTTTAGCTTCTGAGCCCCATTGCCAAGTTGGATTCTTGAATTTTTTGTTTGTTTGGGCAGCTTTGGTTTTGTTTTTTTCATTTTCTTTTGAGATGGAGTTTCACTCTCGTTCACCAGGCTGGGGTGCAATGGCACAATCTCGGCTCACCGCAACCTCTGCCTCCCAGGTTCAAGTGATTCTCCTGCCTCAGCCTCCCGAGTACCTGGGATTACAGGCATGTGCCACCATGCCTGGCTAATTTTGTATTTTTTTAGTAGGGACGGGGTTTCTCCATGTTGGTCAGGCTGGTCTCGAAGTCCTGACCTCAGGTGATCTGCCTGCCTTGGCCTCCCAAAGTGCTGGGATAACAGGCCTGAGCCACCGCGCCTGGCGCAGCTTTGGTTTTATTTGCTTTGTTTATAGTGGAAGGTTAGACATCAAATCAACGTAGAAGATGTTGTGAACTTATGACTAAGCCTGGTGTGGGTTCTCGGTGTCCTGGGGCACGAGCTGGAGGACGGCTGGAGCCAGGTAGAGACCGCTCCCTTCCTTAGAATGTCGCCTTGATGACAAGGACAGCGCTGTGAGCATCCACACCTTCCTTTGAGGTATCTGGCATTGGGCCTGGTCAGGAAACAGGAAGACAGGCAGGTTCCATTTAGCCTGAGACCTGGACCTTGTAAAGCCAGCCACCCAGCCCAGTTTTACAGGCCAGGCGACAAAGGGAGCAACTCGTTGGACCCGGGCCTGCCTCCCCTCTGCAGACCCGCCGTGAGAACACCGTGTTCTGAATTGAGACGTGCCTTGAACTCACTTTGTCCCAGTAATTGCCCCCATAAAATAGACCTGGGCACTCAGAGAAAACTTCCCATATTGAGAAACCCAGGCCTGCCTGCTTTTTATAGCTGGTGCTGAGGACAAGAGAACCACAAGCCCTGGCCAGTCTGCTGAGAGACCACTGAGGGACAGACGGGTTGTGGGCCTGGAGCAGCCCCAGAGGGAAGGAGCATTTGAAAGTGGACAGGTAGAGCCCAGGCCCAGAGAGCCCCAGGACTGCTGCCAGGAAGGCCAGCACGTCCCTCCAGGTAACGGGCAGCTCCTCGGTCGTGGCCTCTGCCCCCCAGCACGTGGGATTCGGGCCGCAATGGCCTATGCGTCTTTTCCTCTTGTCCGTGTTCCATCTGTCTTTCTTCTTTGGTTTGTAGAGAGAGAAGAATTAATCCAGAGCGTGCTGGCGCAGGTCGCAGAGCAGTTCTCAAGGTACAGAGTCTTCTAAACTTACAACCAGCCAGAGATGCGCGCATCTTTCTCTAAGAGCGAGGGCAGGCCCCGGGCTCTGAGGCTGGCCTTGGCCGGCAAGCGCGGCTGTCTCACCTGCCTGGAGGAGCTGCCCGCACGGCGGAAGCCTTCTATGGCTTCTGTAACTAAGCCAGCTTGGATGGGGCCCAGGAAACACTCGCCTTAGACCAAAGACCGTGTTGAGTGGGCGCATTAGAATGTGAGCTCGTGTGGTCGAGAATGTTCTCCATCGGCTCTTCTGGGATCAGAGAACAATCTATAAGAACTGGCTCCACTGGGAAATAAGCTTCCTCGCTTAGTTAGGGGACTTCCTTTTCATCGGAGTCATCCCAGCAATCCTGACCTGGCTACCGTATTTTCCATTTCTCAGACTGACTGCTCTGCGGTTTTCTCTGCGGTATCTTACTGCCCAGGTTAATCAAAATGGTGAAAAGGGCAGACGGCTAGGATTTTTTAAAAACCTTCGAATTGGCTGGGCGCAGTGGCTCACATCTGTAATCCCAGCACTTTGGGAGGCGGAGGCGGAGGCGGGCGGATCACCTGAGGTCTGGAGTTTGAGACCAGCCTGACCAACATGGAGAAGCCGCCGTCTCTATGAAAAATACAAAATTAGCCGGGCGTGACGGCATATGCCTGTAATGCCAGCTACCCGGGAGGCTGAGGCAGGAGAATCACTTGAACCCGGGAGGTGGAGGTTGCGGTGAGCCGAAATCACACCACTGCACTCTAGCCTGGGCAACAGAGTGAAACTGTCTCAGAAAAAAAAAAAAATCCTTCGAATTCTTTAACTGACTAGGTTGGAGCCTCCAGAGAGCACAACAGGTCCTCCGAAGTGTCTATGCCCATCGGGGGAGGGTGTGGGGACTGGACCCTCTCAACCACATAAGCAGAGAAGGCTGCGAGTTCCCCCCAGAGAGTCTGGGTCCACTGCTCAGGCCTGAGGAGGTAAATATGCCCACTAGCTCGGAAAATACACCTCATGAGAATTTGGTGATTCTTTCCTCCCCATGGGACATGACGATTTCTGAAAAGCAAGTCCTGGCATGTTGGCACCCAGCCCCTCGCCAGCCTACCCAGAGGCCTTGCCCATGCCCACAGCGGGAACTCAGTACATGTTTGCTTAACCCGTTTTGGCTCTGAGAATTTTAAGGGTCATATTTCCTCTCTCTTTTCTTTTTCGTTCCTAGAGCATTCAAAATCAATGAACTGAAAGCTGAAGTTGCGAATCACTTGGCTGTGCTAGAGAAACGCGTGGAATGTGAGTGACGTTTCTGTTTCCTTTTTGCTTCTCTGTCCTTTAACCTCTATTCAAATTAACCACTTGGAACAGGGAGGAGTTCAGTGCTGAAGGTAAATACGAATGTCTTTTCTTTCTGAAATACTTGAAAATTACCTTTGATGTTAACAAAGGCTTGCACAGTGACTAACTAAGCATTTTATTTCTATTTTAAAAGAAGCACATCTCATGGTATAAAGCATTCTTTCAGCCCCAAAGAGTAAAAATGAACACACGAAGCCCCCCACACTTAGCCCCTCTGAGAACCTCTGCCGAGTGTCTTGTCTGTGTCTTTTTGTGTGTAAATGAAGACATTCTCTGCGCACTGATCTGCACCCTGTGGGTCACCATTTTTTGGAATCTGTCTATTGAGTTGTTACCTCTTGGTTTCTGATACAGTCTGGATGTGCGTCCCCTCCACGTCTCACGCTGAAATGTCATTGGCAATGTTGGAGGTGGGGTTGGTGGGAGATGTTTGGGTCAGCAGGGCAGATGCCTCCTGAATGGCTTGATGCTCTCCTTGAGATTGTGAGCTCTCGCAAGATCTGGTTGTTTAAAAGCACGTGGCAGCTCTCTACCCTCCCGCTTCCCTGTCGCCTTCCACCATGATTGGAGGCTTCTCGAGGACTCCCCAAGAGCCAAGCAGATGCCAGCACCAGACTTCCTGTAAAGCCAACAGAACTGGGAGCCAATCAAAGCTCTTTTCCTTATAAATTGCCCAGCCTCGGGTATCTCTTTATAGCAACAGAAGAACAGCCTACTACAGCCTCCAGTCACCACCAAAGGAAAGCAGAAAAATGACTAGTGAGCTGAGGAGTATCAATTCAAGTCCTGATTCAATGATCAAAAAGCTCAAATTCTGAGAAGAAAACAACTTCAAGTCACCCATCCTTTTTGTCCTCATCCGTAATATCAAGGTCAATGCTTACATTCCACAGGCCTCACAATTCTGTGTTCAACTCACAGCTTGACAAGTGAACTCTTTGTCAATGACAAGGCAAAGGTTAATGATTAACATGCACCACGTTTACCAACTTAGGAACTAAATAAACAGAATCCAGACAGGAGGCCATTAAGGATTACAGCATCACCAAAAAAAAAATATCTGGCTGATTGACTGAATGTCATCGTCGCTTTTCTTTTTTTCTTTCTTTCTTTTTTTTTTTTTTTGAGACAGAGTCTTGCTCTGTTGCCCAGGTTGGAGTGCAGTGGCGCAATCTTGGCTCAATATGCAACCTCCGCTTCCTGGGTTCAAGTGATTCTCCTGAAACATGATTTACATAGTCAGATTTATACTTTTCAAAGTGTGTGGACATTTCTAAAAATGTATGTGGTCACTGGATCTTCAAGACGGTTTCATTTTCCCCCGTTGTCAATGAGGAAGCCACAGAGAGGTTAGGTAACCTCAAGTTCACTCAGCAAATTAGAAAAATAAATAAAGCTGAGACTGGCACCCAGGGTCCTGGCCAGGCTACTCTCACTGCCTGCTACCTGCCCTTCTGGGACGGGTCACCTCCCTGCACACCTGGCTGAAGAGCACCAGGCATTTCATGAGGATTCATTGGTAACTCAGGTTAGAAAGCTGAAGCTGCAAGCAACAGAAACTGATCGTGGCTGCTTTCAACAGAAAAGCAGTTTTTCCCTGAAGGATTTTGGGAAGCTCCCTGGATCCCCAGGAGGGCTTGGGAACAGGGCTTGGAGGTTGTGCAGCAGCAGCAATTCCCCAAATCCCGTGCAGAGCTGATGCTGTGCGGATGCCTCTGCTGCCGTCTCTGAGCCCTGGATGCAGCACCAGCTCCCCTGTACTCCTCGCTCTGGACCTAGGCCCCCCGGAGGCTCCACAACCACTTATGCAGATATCAGGCACTTCTCCATGTCGCTGGCTACAGGTTCAAAATCTAGACACAGCCAGACCATGCACCCACAGTCTAGCTGCAAGGCAGGCCCCACAAAGGGAGGCTGTGAGTGCCCTGAGGCTGCCGCACAAAGCACCACAGACTGGGAGGCTTAAGCAACAAAAACTGACTCTCCCGCAGCTCTGCAGGCCAGAAGTCAGAAATCAAGGCATGAGCAGGGCTGGCTCCTTCTGGAGGCTCTGAGGGGCCCTGGTTCTGTGCCTCTCTCTTAGACTCTTGCGGCTCCCAGCAATCCTTGCCGTTACTGAGCTTGGAATGCTGCATCACTCTAACCTCCGCCTGTGTCTTCACGTGGTGACGTTCTCCCAGGATGTCTCCACGTCACCAGTCTCTCTCTGCTAGGTCTTATAAAGATGCCTCTCTTTGAATTTAGGGCCCAACCTAAATCCAGGATGGGCTCATCTCCAGGTCCCTAATGGATTATATCTGCCAAGGACCTTTTTCTCAATAAGGTCCCATTCACAAGTTCCAGGGAGTCGGTTGTGAACAGATCTTTCTGGCGGACACAGTTCAACCCACCACAGCGCGTGTTTGCATTTCCATGTTCTGCACTGGGAGGCTGGCTTAGCTCCCCACCAAGCCCCGTGTCACAGGGAATTCTCCAAACCTGGGTAGGGGTTTGAGCCAAACATGCAAAAAAGGCTTGCTGCAGAGTCACCACCCACCTTTACAGATGCAAAAAGTCACGCAGTCACTACAGGGGGAGCGTGCAGATGCCCGCGGACAGCAGGTGCCTCCCACCTCTCCTCTCTCCAGCGCCTGGGCTTTGCCTCAGCCTCCCCCATCTCCTACGCCCCACCCGGAAGCCAGTGCCAGCTCCTTCCATGCTCTTCCCAGAAAGTGCAAACAGGCAAGTCGAAGAGGCCATGCCGCAACTCTCAAAACTCTTACAGAGAATTATGTCTCCCACAACAAGATGAATAGTAACCCTGTGTGTCTCTGGATAACTGACCCTGGAAAATAACCATCAAGCCAAAAGAAAAGTGTTCCTGTTTTACCTCCAAGTGGCAGGTGAGTTGAAGATCACTGAAGGACATGGCCCATAGGACCTTCCCCTCTAGCCTGTTCTAGCTGCGGAATTCTCCAAAATGCTCACTTCTCAGAGGGAAGGTATCTTCCCATAAGGCCCTCAGTGAATGCACACAGATGGCCTGGCAGAGGACACCACTCTTGGCCCACCGAGCTCAGGCTCACGGCACAGACCAGAATTACTGGTGCTTCTGCGGGTAAAACCGGTTGTTACCAGTTGTACTGATTTCTAGCACCAGAGACCTAGGACTACAGAAATGGGATTGGGGGAGCTCCCCTTTCTAAGGAGTAGGGAAGGAGGAGCAGTCTAGGAGTTGTGGAGGGTAAGGGAGGGGACCTCTCCTCAGTCCTCCTGGCTGCCCTCCTCCCACCGCATGCAGCTCACACCCCCACTCCAGGAGGCAGCCGTGTCCAGACAGGCTGTCGTCCTCCTGAACTCCACCTGGCTTTGGGCTCATCCTCCCCGCACACTTCTGGCTGATGGCTCCCCACTCTCCAGCGGGTGTGCTTTAGCGGGAGGTGGCCGGGATGCTGCAGCTGTGCTGAGCCCCAGGGAGTCTGAGTTCCAGAGACACCGCAAGGGCAGCAGAGCCTTAACCCAAAGATGCGAGAGCCCAGACATTTCAGGAGGCTTAGAGGACAAAGAGGGAAAATCCTTTCGAGGAGAGGGCCGGGAGCTGAACGTCTCATGTGGCAGGCCACTGGGGAAGTGTGTGCCCAGCTTCTCAGAAGGTCAGTCCCAGCCAGAAGCTAGCCAGATGGGGAGGGCGGCCAGGAGCGTGGTCCGACACCCAGTGCACAGGGCCTGGGCCAGAGGCAGATGCTGCCATCTACATATGCACATGCACGTGTAAACACACACAGAGGTGTCCATGCACTCACAGATACACACGTGAAATCACACAGGCATGTCAGGATGTCACATATACATGCACACATGCACACGTGTAAGCACCCAGGCACGTGCAGATACATTCATACCTGTGATCACATACACACACATGCACACACACAGCTGCTTCTGCTGTACATGAGCTGCTGTGAGCTGTTTTGTTTTGTTGTGGTGGTGGTGGTGGTTGTTTGAGACAGAGTTTCGCTCTTTGGCCCAGGCTAAAGTGACGCAATCTTGGCTCACTGCAGCCTCCGCCCCCGAAAGACAGGACACTTCTGTCTCAGCCTCCCAAGTAGCTGGGATTATAGGCGCCCGCCACCATGTCCGGCTAATTTTTGTATTTTTAGTAGAGATGGGGTTTCGCCATGTTGGCCAGGCTGGTCTCGAACTCCTGACCTCAGGTGAGCGACACGCCTCGGCCCCCAAAGTGCTGGGATTTTACAAGCGTGAGCCACTGTGCCCTCCAAGCTGTTTTCTGCTTCTTCAGTTAAAAGACTCATCCGCTAGAACTGGCCACCTTAAAGCCGTGTTACATTGTGGTGGACTTGACTTAAATGGAATTTCCTGCTTCTTCTCAAATGTATAATTCCTCTGAATTGAATATAAATTTCTTCATTTCTCTTCACTGACTTTCAAAGCTCTTCTTCCTTTTGATATAAAAAGTTTAGCCTCGTTCGAGCGATCTGGGATTTCCCTTACGTTACAGATTATTTCGTAAACAGAACACCCAGGCCCCTCCCCTCACGTCCTGGCTGGAGGTGAAACATTAAAGAGAGATTTTAAAGCAGGGCCCTTTACTCCCTTCCTTCCTGGTTTGCGGCAGGGGCACAGGGCAGCTCTGCTCCATCCACCCTTTGTCCCCGTACTCTGGGTTTGGACCAAAACCTAAACACAGCGTGGGCCATGGCAGGAGCTGACTGCCTGGGGCAAAGTTTAACACAGGCCATCCAAACAGCCCAGAGCCTAGATGCTAGAACCAAGCCTTGCTTTCCTCCGTCACTCAGGAAGTCTGTGCTACGCGGGCTCTTTAGTGAGGCTCTTGGAGGAAGTGTTGAAACACAGCTCTATTCATACATGTCTTTAAACAACTTTCACTAGCTCTGCAGCCAAAGGACTGGGCCTGCCAGGTTCCCGGCCGGAGTACAGTGAGGTTGGGGAAGGAGCACAGCACGACCCTCCGAGCCCTCGCTCTTGGCTCTCCCCCATCCGGCTCGGCTCTCCCCCATCCCGGCTCGGCTCTCCCCGGCCCCCGGCTCGGCTCTCCCCATCCCGGCTCGGGCTCTTCCCGGCCCGGCTCGGCTCTCCCGACCCCGGCTCGTCTCCCGGCCCCGGCTGGGCTCTCCCCGGCCCCGGCTCGGCTCTCCCGCCCCGGCTGGCTCTCCCCGGCCCCGGCTCAGTTCTCCCCGGCCCCGCTCGGCTCTCCCCGGCCCCGGCTCAGTTCTCCCGGCCCCCGGCTCGGCTCTCCCGGCCCCGGCTCAGTTCTCCCCGGCCCGGCTCAGTTCTCCCCGGCCCCGGCTCGGCTCTCCCCAGCCCCGGCTCAGTTCTCCCGGCCCCCGGCTCAGTCTCCCCAACCCGCCGGCTGCGGCTCTCCCCGGCCCCCGGCTCAGTTCTCCTCCGACCCCCGGCTTGGCTCTCCCCACCCGCCAGGCCGCTTTCCCCAAAGCCAGCGTCTCTCAGAAAGTCGTCCTTAAAGCTTTCCCTGCAGGTGGCCTGTGACTTGCAGAAGCTCACAAAAATCTCTTTTAAAGCCCCTTTTTTGTTGTTGTTTTGTTTTATTTTGAGACAGAGTCTCACTCTGTTGCCCCGGCTGGAGTGCAGAGGTGTGATCTCGGCTCCACCTCCCGGGTTCAAGTGATTCTCCTGCCTCAGCCCCCAGAGTAGCTGGGATTACAGGCAGCCTGTGACCACGCCTGGCTAATTTTTGTATTTTCAGTAGAGACGGGGTTTCCAGATAGATAGATAAATGAATAGATAGATAGATAGATCGATCGATAATAGATAAACGTATGGGTGGATGGATACATAGTGAGTACGTAGGTAGATAGGTAGTAGAAAGAGAGAGAGAGAGAAACAGGATGAATATTTAGAAGGCCTGGGAGTGGGCAGAAGGCCTGGAAGGACACACATTAATACAAATAATATTAACTGAGTTGTTTTCTGGGCCCATAGGATCCTAGATAAATTTTAAAATCTTCTTTGAAGTGCTATTTCCTACACTTCCTACAGTGATCGTAGGATTTTTTATATTCAGGAAAATGACATTTAAGACATAGTCAATGGACCATGGACCTTGGACAGAGGGCGCAGCTGCCCTGTTTGCAGTCTACACCGCATGCTCAACCCTTCCCCAGATCTACTCACTTTCAGAATGTGCTGCCTTCCACGTGTGAACCACACTGAGCGCCTTCCTGCCACTGATGTTGAATTGTCCATTTGCTCACGTCAGTGTCCAAGTGGCAAACCCACAGGGCACGGGTGGGATCCTGCAGTCTAGACAAAACCAAGGAGCACCCGTGGAGGCCACGCTGGGCTTCCCAATCCACATGCCGACCCGAAATGTGTTCTTGGCGCCTTTTCTCAGAAGACAGCCTGGGGCATTCTTCAGCTTCCTGGAGGGGCCCACGATGCTGGAGAAAACGGGGACCCGGCTCCAAAGGAGAAGGTGGACTCTTAGTGGTTGGACAAAAGACCTTAGTCCAGACCTCAGGTACCTTGTGTTTCCCCAGCGGCCGCTCATCTGGACTCGGCCATCAGGACAGCGACCACACTGGCTCCTGCCACATGCACTTCCAGACCCCTGTCCTCTAGCCGTTGAGTAGAAGAGAGGCGGAGAAGGTTTCTGCAGCACAGAAGCACATCAGCAGGACCAGATCCAAACATTGCCCCCTGCAGATTCCTCATCCTCTGGCAGAGAGAAGCAGTGTCCCAGGAAGCCATACCCCTACTTGACCCCTGACCCCGGAAATGCCTCAAACCCACCCGGGAGGCTGATTCCAGCCAGGCTGCCCGGGGCCCCTGCACTGGGAGAATTCCTTTCCGGAGCTGCACTACTTCCGGTGGGAAGGAGTCGTTAGAAACTAGCCAAAGGCTCCTAGTTGCTTGGTTTTTCCTTTAGAAAACATTCGCTTTTTATTTTTAGCAGTTATTCAGAGCCAAACTTCATGAAAAAGGGAATAGAGTGGCATCGTGGGAGTATCCTTCTGCATAAAAGTTAAGGTGTGATTACAAAGTAACAAAGCTAATCTTTTTTATTTCTTATGAACCAACTCTAATTGAAAAGCCGTGCGAAGCTGCTTGCTTCATGGCAGCGTTTCTGGGGTAAACGTGCAGTCAGCCAAGGGTGAATATCTTGAAGTTTAACACTCGCTGGGAGGCATAAGCTCCAGTTTGTTTTTGGTTGAAAAATAGTATCCTAACTGTTGAGGCACACCTTTGCAGTAGGACTCTGTAACAGCCCACGGGGTTCACCCTGCCCGCTGCCTAAACAGCTGATTCATCCAGACAGGGGAACTGCAATGGAGAAAGAGTTATTCACTCAGAGCCGGCTGTGCAGGAGACCAGAGTTTTATCATTCCTCAACTCAGTCTCCCCGAGCATTCGGGGGCAGAGTTTTTAAGGATAACTTGGTGGGTTGGGGGAAGCCAGTGAGCCAGGAATGCTGATTGATTGGTCAGGGATGAAATCATAGGGAGTTGAAGCTGTCTTCTTTTTTTTTTTTTTTTTTGAGACGGAGTCTCGCTCTGTCACCCAGGCTGGAGGGCAGTGGCGCGATCTCACTCACTGCAACCTCCGCCTGCCGGGTTCAAGCGATTCTCCTACCTCAGCCTCTGGAGTAGCTGGGATTACAGGCACTGGTGCACCACGCCCAGTTAATTTTTGGATTTTTAGTAGAGACAGGGTTTCTCTATATTGGCCAGGCTTGTCTCAAACTCCTGACCTCATGATCTGCCCACCTCAGCCTCCCAAAGTGCTGGGATTACAGGTGTGAGCCTGGGCGGAAGCTGGGCAGAAGCTGTCTTGCACTGAGTCAGTTCCTGAGTGGGGCCACAAGACCTGACGAGCCAGTTTATCGATCTGGGTGATGCCAGCTGATCCATCAACTGCAGGGTCTGCAAAATATCTCAAGTGCTGATCCTAGGAGCAATTTAGGGAGGGTCAGAATCTTGTAGCCTCCAGCTGTGTGACTCTTAAACCATAATTTCTAATCCTGTGGCTAATGTTAGTCTCGTCCCCAGGCAAGAAGAAGGTCTGCGTTGGGAAAGAGCTGTTATAGTCTTTGTGTAAACTATAAACTGCAAAGGAAGTTTCTCCCAAAGTTAGTTTGAGGAATGAACAAAGACAGCTTGGAGGTTAGGAGCAAGATGGAGTCGGTTAAGTTAGCTCTCTTTCACTGTCTCAGTCATCATTTGGCCAAGGCGGTTTCAACTCCAGGAATGTGATCAAGCCCAGGTTCTGCTGATCCTCAACTTTGCCTGTTCATTTCTCCTCTGTTTTAAGTCAACAGTTTCTCCTGGTGATGCTGCGCTGGAAGGACGTTACAATGAAAAGCTTTTCCCATAATGAGATCTTAATCCTGGCTGAAAACGCTTTGCCGTTCGCTGCATTTTAATGCTCTGGCACCACATGTCCCCTCTGTTCTTTTTGGGATAAAAGACGCCTTTGTCCCATGTCCTCAGCTGGTGCTTAGGGGTATGGAGCAAAAAGTGGGTGCCAGAGTTGAGATTCCAGGAGTGGAAAGTGGGGAGGGGCTTCTGCCCTCTGGAAACTGCCCAGATGGAGGCAGTGGTGCAGCGGTGGCCACGGCACATGCCGGCGAGGTTGGAGTCAGTTGGGGCTGAGCTAAGTGGGGCAGTGCGGGCACACCCGGAGTATTGGCAGCCGGGGTAGGAATGAGACCTCTGCACTGAGCTATTTTCCTCCCTGGGAGCCACAGGGAGCCCTTAGTTACCAGCCTTGAGAGATCCTCCGCATTCGTCCGTGGTAACCCCCTTGCTGTCTCTCTCTCTGTCACCAGTGGAAGGACTGAAAGTGGTGGAGATTGAGAAATGCAAGAGTGACATTAAGAAGATGAGGGAGGAGCTGGCGGCCAGAAGCAGCAGGTAGGGTCTGTGCTGGGGCCACGGGCGGCCGGGCCTGGGGAGGGCTCCCCATTCCAGTTAGCCTGGGGCTGTGGGCTTTGTTTCTCTAAAAGAAAGGCTGGTGCAGTTCGGTACAATTCAGGCTTGGGAGAGTGCAGTCTGGAGGCAGCCACCCTGCTCGCAATCTGCTTGTCAGTGGTGTGACTTTCTTCTAACAAAAGAGGACGTATGGGCCAGGCATGGCGGCTCACGCCTGTAATCCCAGCACTTTGGGAGGCCGAGGTGGGAGGATCACCTGAGGTCAGGAGTTCAATACCGGCTTGGCCAACATGGTGAAACCCCATCTCTACTAAAAATACAAAAAGTAGCCAGGTATGGTGGCACATGCCTGTAACCCCAACTACTTGGGAAGCTGAGGCAGGAGAATCGCTTGAACCCAGGAGGTGGAGGTTGCAGTGAGCCGACCAGGCCGCTGCACTGCACCCTGGGCTCGACAGAGCAAGACTCTGTCTCAAAAAAAAAAAAATTAAAAAAAAGAGCACATACGGGAGACGGGGGCTGGGAAGACACTTCACAGAAGAGGAGTCCTCCTCCTGCAGATCCAAGCCTTAGGAGCAATGTAGCCAGCTTGGAATAAGTTGATATCTACTTTTAAAGACAGAACAACAAGAGGAAAAAGGCATTAGGGGAGGAGCCTCCTGGTGCCCCCAGGGAGCCGGTTCCCTGCGTGATATTCCCACTGGGTTGCATTCCAGCGAGGGCTCCAGCACTGGGGACACAGAAGTCATTCTCTTGGGAACAGGCGTCCTTCACAGGCACTGCGGGAGGCCCAGTGAGCAGTGACTCGTGGGGAAAATGCCCCAGCTTCCACGATGCTGCCTCCAAAGTCAGTTTTATGGACAGCAGGACTTTACTGGAGCCAGGGTCAGGACACGTGTGGATGAATCACATCCAAACTGGGGATGGAAATGCATGTAGTAGCAAAGAGACGGCGGTGACGATGAGCAGAGCGCACCCATTGAACGCTTACTGTGTGCAGGCGCTGTGCTGAGTGAGGGGCACACAGGACCCGCTCACACCTCCGGGCTTTACCTCCATGCCCGCTGGTGCCAGCCCAGAGACCACAGGCATATGATGTGGCTCATGGTTCCCCAGAGTGCCACTGCCCGGCCTCAGCGGGATTTCATGGGGTCTGATGAACTGAGAAGCAGCCCTGTGCCATTGCACCGAATTGTCCCAGGGCCCCCTGCATGCTGACGATCATTCCCTGATTCTAAAGCTGAGGGCAGTCTGCTTAGTGAGGCAGTGTGGCAGGTGGGAGGGTCTCAGAGGCACAAGGTGAGGGGAAAGCTGGCGGGCCTGGCCTGGTCCCCTCCAAGCCCCGGGAGCCTGGCCTCGGGGTGGGCACAGGGAGGAAGGCCGAGCGGAAGGAAGCACACCTCGTCTGAGCCACAGGAGAGCCTGTCCTACAGGGATGCCACGTGTCTGTCCCATGCACTCGTGGGCTCATTTGGAGTTAGGGATGTCTCAGCCCAGTTGACTTAGGGGAAGTCAGGGCCATAGTCTGTGACCATGGAAAATTGTGAGTGAACAATCCATGTTCGTCATTCCTGTGGTAGGAGGCTCTTTAAGGGATGAGAGACAGAGTCCCTCCTTTGTGAGCTGAGGAAGAGCTCCCACGTTACACACGGGCGGCCACACAGCCGGGGCCCCAAGGCTGGGACCGGGCTTGGCAGCCTCAAACATGCAGCACCTTTACCTGTGCGCCCTTGGCCGTGGGCTCTACGTGGCTTAGTTCAGTGGCTGTCCCCTGTGCCCCGGGTGCCATGGCTGCTTTGGCAGGAGGCTGGTGCTGCCTGGCAGGGTTCCCCTCTGCCCAGAGCCAGGTGGGGATGGGCTGCCTCAAGCAGGGGCTGCGGGTGTAGCAGGACCAGCCTCTCCAGCCCCACCAGCAGCACAAGGGGAAGAGGGACGAAAACTGAGTTCTAGTCTTCAGCCGAAAACCAGACTCCCCGAACAGTGGCCTCTGGGCTCCATGTGGGTTGGGGAACTCCACCGCCCCGAGGGGTGTGTCTGGAGCCAGGCCATGCCTCCCAGAGCTCCCCCAGCTCCTCACCCACAACTGTGTGTCCCTGAGCACTTTCTGGAGGTATTTGTAGAATGCAGCCTCTTATCCCTTAAACAACTGCATTTGCTGCCCTCCCACAGCCGCAGGAGTGAGTAGGGAGGCAGCCTCCAGCCTCACAGGTCTTGCCCCTGCTGTGCCTGATGGGCACCTGCTCTGTAGAAAGCAAGGCGAGTGCTCGGATCACACGCCGCTCCTGGCGTGGTTTCTGGTGTGCACTGGTCCTGCAGGTTAGGTTGCAGGGGGGGAATTATTTTTATCGAAGTCGTAGTCATTTCCTGGGGCTGCGTAACGAATTATCATAAACTGGGCAGTTTAAAACAATAGAAATGTATTGCCACATAGTTCTGGAGGCCACAAGTCCAAAATCAAGGTGGCAGCAGGCCCTGCCACCTCTGACGGTCCCAGGGGAGGGTCCTTCCTGGTCTCCCTTGGCCTCCGGTGGCTGCCGGTGGCTCCTCGGCTTGGGGATCTCTGCCTGCTTCTTCACCTGGTGCTCCCATCTGTTCTCTCCAAATTCCCCCTTTTTGTAAGGACACCCATCCTATTGGAGTAGGGGTCACCCCCTCCAGGATGACATCACCTTAACTACATCTGCAACAGCCATGACCCCAAATGAGGTCACCCTCACAGGCAGCAGGGTTAGGACTTCAACATACGACTTTTGGAGGGAGATGTACTTCAGCCCGTAACACCCCACGTGGGAGGATAACACCGATTTCAGAGCACACAGAGGAAGCCGCCAGGAACTCCAGTGAAACATCAGCCCCCAGGTGCCCATCAGGCACGCCGGGCTGCGGGGAGCACTTGGGCCCATCTGAGTAACAGAGGTGCATCCGCACTTCCCCCGGGAGTACATTTTTAGAACCCACAGCGCCATTAACCAAAGAGAAGGAGACTTCCTGGCGCCCCGTCAGCTTCTGGAGGCGATGTTCTCAGCTGACAGCTCTGGCAGCCTCCCCTGTAGGTGAGAGACAGGTAAATGGGATTCTTGCATCCAAAACGGAACAGGGTAAAAATTCTCAAGCGTCGTCGACACACTGAGAAAAACACAAATTCAGCCTCCTGGGTTCTGGTCTAATCCCCAGCCGCGTCACGTGCCCCAGGCCCTCGTCGCAGAGCGGCAGCCCCCACACACGAAACCCCTTCCTGTTTCTCTATGTAGAAAGGAACTCAGAATAGAGACACTGAGCTGTGTGCGTTGTCTCTTTCGTCTTTGTCAACAGCAGAGGTACATCTTACTTATGAGAGCCTGTAGCAGTGTGGGGCCCCTGGGACCAGTCTTGTTAAGCTGGGACTTCCCTGGATGGCTGGGGAGAGGAGCTGCAAAAGGCAGGGGTGGGGGTGGGGGGCCTTCCCGAGATGGCAGCCCAGCCGGAGGCCGGCGTTCTTGCCTCTGGGAAGAGAATAAAGACCCCAGACAGGGTGGAGGTAGCTCAGCGCCGTTCCACACAAATGGCCAGTGTGAGCCTGAAACGTGGAGCTACATTCAGCCCACACAGCACACTGCAGTGGGACCGCGGAACCAGGGGTCTGGATCCGCCAGAAGCTGCCCCTTGAGAATAGCAGTGGCATCAGGGTCCAGCACACAGCAGCCAGGAGCAGGCGGCTGTCCCCTGACTTTCCCGAGTTAGGTTTCTCCTGCTTTTCCCTCAAAGAGGACAGAGGTCCAACTGCCAGCTCACATTTAGGGCAGGGGCAGGTCTACCCCTGCTGCCACGGCCACTCTGGCCCCCAGCACTGTGCCAGGCAGAGAGCAGAGCATGGAATGTGGGGTTCACCCAGAGCTGGGGAGCCTGCAGGAGCCTGGGGTAGCAACTGAGGGCTCAGCATTCATCCCAAAAAAATGGCCTTGCCCTCTGGCCTAAGCCTCGGGGAAGGGGGATGGAGACCCCACGAAATGAAAGCGAAAATAAGCTCCAAATAGGATGAAAAGAAAGAGCTCCGTGCCAGCTGCTCTGTTTGCTGAAGACGCTGGTTCCCATGGCAACGGGGCGCAGAGAGAGGGGCTGCCTGGCCAGGCAGGGTCAGCGGGCCCCAGCAGACCCTCCTCTGCTCCCAGCTCTGGGATCTGCAAGAAAACAGCAGGATTCCAGCAGTCAAACCATCTTGCTTGGTGAAAATTTCCATAACCCTCCTGGGGAATGCAGGAGACTTACAGAGACAACACATGTGCGAGTGTTTACACAGAAGAGGTTAAAAGCAGCAAAGAAATCATCATCGTGCCATCAATTTTTTTAACTGCACAGAAAACGTTCGTGACTGCTCAGAAATGTGTAAATGGAATTTCTTGGTTACTGGATGACAATGGAAATCATTTGATTGGTGCATTTTGTTGGTTGGTTTTGCTAATACTTTGCTGAATCTGTTAGCATTCCCCCTTTCACATCAAACTGTGGCAGCAACTCTGACGGGTTTTGCAAGCATGAAGCAGAGGGAAGGGCTACCAAGTGGATCTCTGTTGGAGCGGTGGTTATCACGGGGAAGAGACGGCAGCATGCCGAGAAAATAACACTGAAGGCCCTTTTTCCAGAAAGGAAATAGATTGAGTATTCTAGTTTTGAAAATAGCACAGGCTCATTGGAAAACCTCCAAACTATACTGATGGGAGTTGAAGGGTGGGCACCGATCATGACAGCAGCCGGCAGTGTCCCCCCAGTTTAAACCTGGACACGAGGCCTTCCAGATGTTTTTTCTGTGTATAGATACCTTGTTTTGAAAAACAACAAAAACATGCTGTTTTGTAGTCTTTTTTTTTTTACTAGTGACATTGTGAGCAATAACTAGATTAAATTTTAACCGGTGTACAGCTCATAGATTTTCCTGGAAGGCCACAATCAAGCACTCTTTTTAAACCTCCCGAATGTGCTCTTTCTTCCCCGTAGCTTGGCATTTTTCGGCATTCGCTTTCAGTACATACTGTGCATAGCTTTCTTATTTTCCCTTCTCATGTAAAGTTCCCTCACTTGGCATGATATCCGTGATTATCCTCTCAATGGCATAGTAGTCCATCACGTGGATGCACTGTGGTGGTTTAAACCACGTCCCATTTTGCGACATTCAGGTGGCTTCTAGTAGGTCTTGTGTTTTTGTTACAACAGATCACGCCACAATGAATATCTGTGTGCGTAGAGCTGTTTGTTCCTGTTTAATTCTTGGCTTAAGATAAATTCCCCAGGATAGATACGTGGGCTGAAAGGATTCGGATTTCTATATGGCTCTCACTATGCAGTATTAAATGGATCTCCCAGAAGATGGGGCTTTATTTACAAATCGCAGGAGCTTCTGCTGCATTCAGCTCCCTGAGTACCCCCCAGCCTGGTGAATGTCACACAAGCCAGGCGTGACCCCCACCCACCATCACCCAAGTACACAGGGAGCCTGTTCACTTCCAAGCAAATGCACAGCCACAGGGGGTCCCCAGATCCGCCCAGCCCCCTGGTGCATTCTGCTGCAGAGGCCCAAGAGCGGCCAGACCTCCCGGGGCAGCTGCTCCTCATTCAGCCTCTGGGGACCACCCTGAAGCCAGCACACTGCCCAACCAGGAGGCGGCTTTCCTCCGAAACACGCCTGGCTCCCTTTGCCCTGCTCCTATGCAGGATACCTCGATACCCAGTGCTAAACAAAACCAGAGTCAGACAGCAAACTCATCTGCTAACGTTACATGCAGCAGGGAGAGTTGGAAACATTCTAAAAGTCCATCACTGGGGATTGGATTGCTAACGTGTGCTACGGCCACACCCTGGAGAAACTTGGAAAATGAAGCGAAGCTGTGTGGAGCAACTTGGAATGAGTTCATGATATGTTCGATGACAAAGCAGGTTGCAGCAGAGTGCATTTGGTGCAATTCCATCTTTGTTTAAAAGTACAAAGGGGCTGGGCGCAGTGACTCACGCCTATCATCCCAACACTTTGGGAGGCCAAGGCAGGAGGATCACTTGAAGTCAGGAGTTCAAGACCAGCCTGGCCAACATGGTGAAACCCCATCTCTACTAAAAAGACAAAAATTAGTTTGGTGTGGCACCATGCACCTGTAATCCCAGCTACTCAGGAGGCTGAGGCACGAGAATCGCTTGAACTCGGGAGGCAGAGGTTGCAGTGAGCCAAGATTGCACCACTGCACTCCAGCCTGGGCGACAGAGTGAGACTCTGTCTCAAAAAAAAAAAAAAAAAAGTGCAAAGGGGTGGGGTGCAGTGACTCACGCCTGTCATCCCAACACTTTGGGAGGCTGAGGCAGAAGGATCGTTTGAACCCAGGAGTTCGAGACCAGCCTGGGTAACATAGTAAGACCCCATCTCTACAAAAAATAAAAATTAAAATATTGTTAAAAGGTATAAGCGCCACCCATGTGTGTCCACACTTCAAAACATTCTGGAAAGATACACCAAACTATTAGAAGTGATTTCCAGAGTATGGGATTTAGGGAAATAAGTGGGTAAAGTGAGGACTTTGGTTGTTTTTTTTTTTTTTTACTTTACTCCTGTGTTGTTTAGATTTTTGAGAATAAGAATGTTTTCATTTTGAAAACATTAGAAAAAGGTTTTTTAGAAGCTTATCTAAGACAGAAGATAGCCCTCAACATCTGACTTTTTTTTTTTTTTTTTTTTGAGACGGAGTTTTGCTCTTGTTGCCCAAACTGGCCAGGCTGGCGTGCACTGGCGCAATCTCCGCTCACTGCAACCTCCACCTCCTGGGTTCAGGCGATTCTCCTGCCTCAGCCTCCCGAGTAGCGGGATTACAGGTGCACACCACCGTGCCCAGCTAATTTTTGTGTGTTTTTTTTTAATATAGAGACAGGTTTCACCATGTTGGCCAGGATGGTCTCGATCTCTTGACCTCGTGATCCTCCCGCCTCGGTCTCCCAAAGTGCTGGGATTACAGGCGTGAGCCACTGCGCCCGGCCCCAACCTCTGACTTTCTATGTGTTTTCCAAGAGCCCAATGTGAGGTCAGAGGTCAGGCAGGTCCTTGGGGATTTTGCTTTGAATGAGTTGCTGCCGCCCTGACTCCTCTCCCATAGCAAATAAGACCACACGGGTCTTGGGGATTTCGGTCTGTCCCTTGCTTTTGCTCTGCCGAGGGCTTCACCAGACTGAAACAGCAGGACCACAGCTCATCTCTGCTTCTTCTCTCTAGGACCAGCTGCCCCTGTAAGTACAGTTTTTTGGATAACCACAAGAAGTTGACTCCTCGACGCGATGTTCCCACTTACCCCAAGGTAAGACGAGATTCCTGCCCAGAGGAGGCTGTGGCTGTGTCCCCAGCCCCACGCCCAGCCCTGTGGCCCTGCAGCCAGACCCTGCTGTGTGCTCATTCTCATCAACAGCCGCTCCCAGCCCTGGACGCTGCGGGTTACTCTAAGGCAAAGTATTTTTCCTCTTTCACATTTGTTTAGCAAAAGTGATCCCAGACCATACCTTCCCCTGCAAGGAGATAATAGCTCTGTGCTGCCGTCTGCCCTGGAGCTGACCTCGGTAAATGGTTTTCACAGTCAAACACGTTACTTTAAAGAACTTTAATGTTTAACTACATTTTTAAAAATCCACATTGGCCCTCCTCTCTGAGCAATTCTTAGTTGTCCTGGCAGTTTTGCTCTTTTGCACAAAAGTGTTCTTAGTTCTAAGAGAAGCTGTAACCTTGGTGAAGTAGCAATGGCGTTTTTGAAATAATGACAAAAGGAGGGTCTCAAGACGCTGGTCAACCGCTCAAAGCCTTCAGCTGGGAAGCAGGCAAAATCCCGGCCCACCTCATTTTTTGTTTATTTTTTATTAATTTATTTATTTATTTTGAGAAGGAGTTTCACTGTTGTCGCCCAGGCTGGAGTGCAGTGGCACAATCTCAGCTCCCTGCAAAATCAGCCTCCTGAGTTCAAGCAGTTCTCCTGCCTCAGCCTCCCGAGTAGCTGGGATTATGGGCGCCCGTCACCACACCCAGTTAATTTTTTTGTATTTTTTTTAGTAGAGACAGGGTTTCACCATGTTGGCCAGGCTGGGCTTGAACTCGTGACCTGAGGTGATCCACCCACCTCGGCCTCCCAAAGTGCTGAGCCACTGCACCCGGCCCGGCCCACCTGATTTGTAATGTGCTCTTGTGCTAAGATTCAGGGGGCACAGGTTCCGCAGACAGCAGAGGCCTGGGCTGCACATAGGTGGGTTCTGCTGCTGCCTGCGGTTCAAGCAATGGCAGAGGCTTCCACAGCCTCCATGTGGGCCACTGGAGTCCATTAGTCAGTGATTCTATCCATGCAGGTCCAAACAGTGCCCTGGATATTGTCAGGTTCGGGGGGATTTTTTGGGTTTTTGGTTTTGTTTTTTTGAGACTGAGTCTCACTCTGTCACCCAGGCTGGAGTGCAATGGCACGATCTCAGCTCACCGCAACCTCTGCCTCTCGGGTTCAAGCGATTCTCCTGCCTCAGCCTCCTGAGTAGCTGGGATTACAGGCGCCCACCACCATGCCCGGCTAATTATTGTACTTTTAGTGGAGACAGGGTTTCACCACGTTGGCCAGGTTGGTCTTGAACTCCTGACCTCAGGTGATCCACCCACCTCGGCCTCCCAAAGTGCTGGGATTACAGGGTGAGCCACTGTGCCCAGCCTTATCTGAGGTTTTTGAATGGAGACGAGTGCCTTTTTCCATTGGAAAATATGCCCCACGCTTCTCAGGATCCTGTCCCAGGGAGCCATGAAGCACAGCCTAGATCCAAAGTAAAAGGTGGCAGCACTCCAGATCCGTCCCCTTATAAAAAACAAAAAGCAAATATCCAGTAAGAGCTGAGAGAAGACAGTGTGTAATACCAAAGCGTGTTCTTGTCTTCTGTATAAAACCACAGCCTTCTGTCCTTGCGACAGCTTAACCTAAAGCCTGATGTCCTCAGAAGCAACCCCGGGCACCACCCTGTCAGCAGGCCTGCTCTTCTAGCTCTCAGCAGAAACCAGGGATGGGTTCCTGATGGGAGCATCTCAGAGTAACTTCTTAGCTGGTGTTTGAATTTATGCCAAGTGAATTTTACCCCCACACTTCACTTTATTGCCCTTTTTTATTATTTTTGAGACGGAGTCTCTCTCTGTTGCCCAGGCTGGAGTGCAGTGGCACGATCTCAGCTCACTGCAACCTCTGCCTCCCAGGTTCAAGCAATTCTCCCACCGCAGCCTCCAAAGTAGCTGGGATTACAGTCACCCGCCATCATGCCTGGCTAATTTTTGTATTTTTATAGAGACAGGATTCCACCATGTTGGCCAGGTTGGTCTTGAACTCCCGACTTCAGGTGATTGGCCCGCCTAGGCTTCCCAAAGCCCTGGGATTACAAGCATGAGCCACCACACCCAGCTATTGTCCATTCTATCATCAGGCTTGTTGAGGTGTAATTTACATGCAGTAAAGTTCTTTAGGTTTAGAGTACAGTGAATTTTGACAAACTTGTTTAGTCCTGTGACCTCCACCACAAGCGAGATATGGAACATTTCTGTCACCCCAAACCCTCCTCCCGCCCCCCTCGCCCTGCCTCCAGCATCCACTGATGGGATTTCCAGCTGTAGTGTTGGCCCTTTCCAGAAGGATGTGGCCTGTGAGTCTGACGCAGGTGCCTTAGAAAGAGAACGGGAGAAGCCAGGTGCGATGGCTCACGCCTGTAATCCCAACACTTTGGGAGGCCGAGGCTGGTGGATCACCTGAGGTCAGGAGTTTGAGACCAGCCTGGCCAGTATCGTGAAAACCCTGTCTCTACTAAAATTACAAAAATTAGCTGGGCATGGTGGCAGGTGCCTGTAATCCCAGCTGCTTGGGAGGCTGAGGCATGAGAATCACTTGAACCTGGGAGGCAGAGGTTGCCGTGAGCCAAGATTACTCCACTGCACTCCAGCCTGGGCAACACAGCGAGACTCCATCTCAAAAAAAAAGAAAGAAAGAAAGAGAACAGGAGAATGAGAAGAAACATCCCAGCATGCACATCACCGTCACAGTCCCCCAGCACCTGGTTAACACGGAACTCTTGTCCTTTCTAGTACCTGCTCTCTCCAGAGACCGTCGAGGCCCTGCGGAAGCCGACCTTTGATGTCTGGCTTTGGGAGCCCAACGAGGTAAGTGCGGGGCTTGCGGGCACCACGTCCCGTGGGGAGGCAGCTCAGGATTGTGGACCCCAGTGGGACCACCCCCGTCGTTCTTCCTCTTTCATGTTTTCTCCTCTTTTTAAAGACTGGGAAAAAAAAAAACAAAAAAACCCTTGTTTTGCTGGGGTTTAGTTGAAACTAATGCTTGATAGCAGGGCCCAGGAGACCTCACAGCAAGGGGATTCTGTGCGTAGGGAGACAGCTGTCAGGGGCAGGGACCCTCCACCCAGGGCTCCCGACGGCGCCGGGCTCCCGGGGTCATCTGCTCACCCGGCAGACCCTCATGCGCGCGGGTGGCAGCCCAGTGCTGCAGAACGCCCATGCCAGGAGCAGATCTCTCCTGAAGGAAGCGGCCGCGGTCAGAGTGCTCTGCTCTGAGAGCAGTGTCTGCAAAGGCAAGGCACAGGCAGCCGGCTGTCCCAGATAAGTGGACACGTGGGATTCCGGGAACTGTGTCACCTTCTGCAGCAAGGCTTGAGGCCAGGAATTCCAGGCCAGCCTGAGTGATATGGTTTGCTGTGTCCCCACCCAAATGTCACCTGAATTGTCATAGTCCCCACGTGTCAAGGGCAGGGCCCGGTGGAGGTCTTGAATCGTGGGGGCAGTTTTCCCCGTACTGTTCTCGTGATAGTAAGTCTCACGAGATCCGATGGTTTTATAAATGGGGGTTCCCCTGCACACGCTGTCTCGCCTGCCCCCATGTAAGTGACTTTCTCCTTCTTTGCCACTCGCCATAATCGTGAGGCCTCCCCGGCCATGGGGAACTGTGAGCCCCTTAAGACTCCTTTTCTTTATAAGTTTCCCAGTCTCAGGTATGTCTTTATTGGCAGCGTGAGAACAGACTAATACGCTGGGCCACGTCGCAAGACCTCGTCGCTAGAAAAAAAAAAAAAGTGTTAAAATTCCTATTTGCTGAAAAATACAAGAATGGGGAATATTTGGTTTCATCTCATTGGCTAATAGACCCCCATCTTTTCACACCCCAAAAAATGAAAAAGTTCCCTCATTGCAGACCTCGGACCCAGCTGTTTTCAACCCACCAAAATCTAAGGACATTTTCCTGCTTGTCAGCAACACAGAGAATGCACAGGCTCCTCAGCAAGCTCACCTGCGCTCTTTGACACCCTCGGCTGCAGCGATCTCTTCGCAAAGGGCAGAAAGTGGGATCTTGCCTCTTGGCATCCCTGAGGCCGGGTTACTGACACCTGGGGCACTGCCCTCTCCTAAGTGAACCTCTTTTACGCCCATGGTCTCCCAGCAGGAGAAAAACTGCAGCACCAGTCAGAAAAGCAAAGCTCCAGCCTCCACTCCCCACCCCAGTTCACCCGAGAAGAGCAGCAGGCAGCCAGTCCCAGGGGCTGCACTGCTGCAAACCTGCTCAAAACCTCCAGCCACCATGTGGCAACTTGCTTCCCAGCCCTGAGACTGCAGGACCAGGGCATGGAGACGACAGAAGAGGCTTTAAATGTGCAGCATGACTGTCTAGGTCAACGCACAAAAAGCAAGGGCTCCAGGTGTGAGAGACACAAGGAGTAAGAGGGGAAGCTCGGAAGAGACGTGTTGGAGCTGCTGGCCTGCAGTGGCTCCCAGGGTCCCTGCACAGCCACTGAGATTGGGCAGAGCAAGTCCACAGCAAGCAGACACGGCAGACGGTTAGAGCACACTGTCTCGTGCTCCCAGCCTGTGGGTAAGCGCCGCGCCTCAGCATCATGCAGAAAAATCACCCTCCCCAAAGTCATTTTGACCTCAGCCTGCTGGGAGGAAGAGCCAAGCCAGGGGCCACTGATGGCAAAGTGCCTGCATGGAAACCGGCACTTGCTGTCTTTTCCATCACTTCTACCAGGGAACCCTTTGAGTGTGGGCCATTGTGACTGGGGAGGTGGGGCTTGCCCCATGAAGCTGAGGGACCTAGAAAGGCCACCTCTCTGTCCTCTGACTGCAGAGTGGACTCAAACAGCCACTCTCGGGGCTGGCAGGTGGGCAAGGTAGACGGCTCCCGGTGGCTGGACTCAGCCTCTGTGTGGCATCTCCCATGGCCCGTGGCTTCTGCCCAGCAGATCTCAAGGGCACCCCAGGAGACCGATGAGGGTTCCAGTTCTTCCAGGAAGCATCTAGCTGCCTGCGTGTGAGAATGCAGAGATGCCCAAGACAGGAGCCTTGGCCTCTGGCAGATCTGGGGATGCCAGGAATTTTGGAGTGTGAGCGCAAAGAGGGACAACTAAAGGAACACACATGAAAACAGCCCACTCGGCCCCGCGAAACTGCGTCTGGCCGCCCACGAGGCAGCTGGCACTCAGAGAACGTCAGGGCTCCTGAGTGATCGCCTCTCTTCCTTCCAGCAGGGGCCACCCTGCCTTTCTCCGAGTGGCTTGACCCAGTGTCCTGCTCATCACAAACCGGACAGAGGACATGACTTCAGGCTGTTGTGTCCTCCCATCTGTTCGGGCCTCTGAGGGCCCAGGGCTGTGGTCTGTGAGCAAGGCCTGCCTCTATCAAGTGCAGAGCTGGACGGCTGCAGGAGCCTCCCCGTCATCTCATGAGTCCCCCACTCACGACCATGCAGCCCACTCAGACCAGGACCCGCCGCAGCATGCGGGAGCTGCTGGCTCACTCGCGCCCGCCTGGGACTGAGGACTGACTGCACGTGCAGCCACAGATGCCCCCAGCCCTCCTGCCCCGCAGCCTCCACAAAGGCCACGTAAGTGGCACCAGGTGGCTCTGTCTGCCCGTCAGCATCCCCTCTTGACTCTGATTTCACAGCAGACACACCTGCCTTTCAGGACTGCCTTGAGCAACATCTGGGCTGGTCAGGTGGAGAGTGAGGAGTCTCCAGGTTGCAGCTCCTATGGTCCTAAGGGCCGGCGTCCAGGAGGGTGGGGGGCCAGCAGCTCTGGGCAGTGAGGCCCCTGGCTGGGTGATCCGGGGGGCTGCTGACCAGTGGCCTGGGAGCCAGCCCTTCTGTCCTCATGTGGGGCCCCAGACTCCTGCCATTCTGAAGGGGGCCCCGTCTCCAAAAGTCGGTGCCGTGCCCTGCACATTATCCAACCTACATCTGTACTGTCCCCCGAAGGAAAACGAGTGTGTGGTTCACGTGCTTTAAGGACGTTTCCCAGGTGACATTCCAAGCTCCCATCTGTGGCTGCGTGTGGGGGAGTTTCCAGTTTTCCAGATGGATTTCCTGCGATGCCAGAGAACCCTCCACCGCCTTCAGAGCCATCTCATCAATGCAGTGATCGCGAGCTTCGATTTACAAAAACTCGCCTCCCTTGCAGCATTTCCAGGTCTCACACACCGCGTAACAAGTAAAAATGGATTTTTGGGCAGCACGCCCTGTCCTAGTTCGCTGAGGCTGCCATAACAAAGTACCAGAGACTGGAGTGGCGTCAGCAGCAGAAGTCAAGTCCTCCGTTCTGGAGCCGGAAGTCCGGGATCAAGGTGCTGCCAGGTTCCGTTTCTCTGGAGGCCTCGGTCCCTGGCGTGCAGATGGCCGCCTTCTTGCTGGGTCCTCACGTGGCCTGTTCTCTTCACGCACGCATGCTCTTCCTCCTCTTATGAAGACACCAGTCCCGTGGGACCAAGGCCTCACCCTGACTGGATAAAACCTTCATTACCTCCGTAAAGGCCCTGTCTCCAAATAGCTCACTGGGGCCGGGGCTTTACCACATTGACCTGGGGGAAGGTGCAATTCAGTTCGTCACATGCCCTTTTTGGGAAGAGAAAGGTCAGGCAACGAGCAGACACAGGCAGGAAGCCATGCCGGGCTCCAGCAGGGATGACCCAGTGCCCTGCACAAGCAGCTGGGCTGGAGGTGGGCACAAGTGGGGGGCCCCGGGTGGAGGACGCCTGCCAGGTGCGTCTAAACTGCCCCTTTGCTGTGTACATCTTCCTTCTCACTGCGCTCCCCACCCAAGACCTGCTTTTTCCAGAAAGCAAAGCCCACTTTGGTCAAAGTCTTGTTTTCAAAAATCACTTCATGTTTTCCTCCCTAAATTAGCTCCAGAGCACTGAGCTGTATTGAAATAGATCACCACAGTGGCAATAAATCCTCTTTGGGACTGAAAACAAAATCTATTTCAACTTGAACAGGGATATTGATAGAAGACAGGGCTCCGTGAAAAAGGGTTGCTGGTGCCGGGCGCGGTGGCTCACGCCTGTAATCCCAGCACTTTGGGAGGCCGAGGCGGGCGGATCACGAGGTCAGGAGATTGAGACCATCCGCGCTAACACCGTGAAACCCCGTCTCTACTAAAAAAATACAAAAAATTAGCCCGCGCGTGGTGGCGGGCCGCCTGTAGTTCCCAGCCTGCTCGGGAGGCTGAGGCAGGAGAATGGCGTGAACCCAGGAGGCCGGAGCTTGCAGTGGCCCGAGATGGTGCCAACTGCACTCCAGCCTGGAGGCGACAAAGCGAGACTCTGTCTCAAAAAAAAAAAAAAAAGAAAAAGAAAAGGGTTGCTGGGCAGGGACTCCATCTGAGCACTGCAGTTAAGACCGTTAAAGGTGTCTCCGGTCCCAGCAGGGCCGCAGGTGAGCACCAGTTGGAGCGTTTCTGGATGTAAACTGTCAAAGCTTGTTCGATCCCCAACCTCAAGGCAAGGAAAGGGTCTTTCTCTCTATGGCAGCACCTGTGCTCAGGTGTGCACTCGCGATGGCAACTGTGTCCTACAGAACCTCACGCTATGATATTGATCCACTGAGACTGTTTTATATGCGTAGAATCAATAAAATTCTTTTTGGTGCAGTGTTTTCTGAACGGGTGCACTCTCTCCACCCAGTCCGCCGTCCTTGTCTTTCTTAGAATTCTCCCTTGACTTCCGAACCGGCCCTCCCACCCACCAGGAGACCCCAGTATGCTCTCAAACCCCCACCCATCTGGGGTGCCTGGAAAGGCTGGTCCAAAGACCCTCTCCTCCCTCTCCCGGGACTTTCTGGGAGGGGAGAACCCACCCCTGCCAACGGCCCTGCTGGCCACTCGGCGAGGACGCACAGAGGGAGGGAAGCCGGGGGCTGGGGAGCCAGCCACAAGCGACTGCTCGAGGCCCTATCCTTCTACTGTCCACAGATGACTGAGCTGCTGGAGCACAGTACCACGACCGTGGGGCTGGTCAGGGACTTCAGCATCACCCCGTCACCCTCAGGAGGTGGCTGGTGAGTGCCAAACCGCCTCTCGGCTTGTCTTCCTGGGCACTGTGGTTTCCATCAGTTCACACAGGAATGGAGGGAATAGGATCGCGCCAGGGCACCTCTCCTGAATGGCACATGCACAACTCCCCTGAGCGGAGACAACATTCCCCAGGCGCTCGTGAAGACGATCAGCCGTCGTCTGTTCTGCCTTCCCACCAAAACCTTTACAGCCCAAGGCTCCTGGCTCTGACTGAGCAGGCGAAGAGTGAGACTCTTGCCATCACCCCACACGAAGCGAGCATGTCCTAACGCAGGCAGTGTATTACGGAGCGTGTGTGATGTCATGAGGCGTGTGGATGTGAGTGTGGGAGTGTGTGTGTGAGTATGGGTGTGATGGTGTGGGAGTGTTGTTGTATGAGGTTGGCATGTAGGTGCTGGGAGTGGGTGCTGTGTGGTGAGCTTTGGGGGTGCTGGATGTAGTGTGGGACGCGTGGCTTGTGAGTATCGGGGGTGTGATGTGTAGTGTGGAGCGGTGTGTGTGAACATGGGGGTGTTGGATGTGAGTGTGGGAGCGTGTGTATGAGGGTGTGGATGTGAGTGTGGGAGAGTGTGTGTGTGTGAGTTTGGGGGTGTGGATGTGAGTGTGGGAGTGTGTGTGTGTGTGAGTTTGGGGGTGTGGATGTGAGTGTGGGAGTGTGTGTGTGTGTGAGTATGGGAGTGTGGGTGTGTGGGAGCGTGTGTGTGAGTGTGGGGTGTGGATGTGAGCATGTGGGGGGCATCTGTGTGAGTTTAGGGGTGGGTATGTGAATGTGGGGTGGGAGTGTGTGGGGTGGGAGTGTGTGGGGTGGGAGTGGGAGTATGGATGTGTGTCTGTGTGTATCTGAATGTGGGGTGTGTCTGTGTATACATGTGTGTATCTGTGGATATGGGGGTGTGTATGAGGGTGGGTGTGTGCATGTGTGGGTGTGGATGTGGCGTGTGTGTATGAGAATGTGAATGTAGGTGTGCATGTATCTGTGTCGCTGTAGGGTGTGTGGATGTGGGGTGTGTGGATGTGTGCGTGTGTATCTGTGTGTGGATGTGGGGTGTGTAGATGTGTGCATGTGTATCTGTGTGTGTGGATGTGTGCATGTGTATCTGGATGTGGGGCGTGTGGATGTGTGCATGTGTGTGTGTGTGGATGTGGGGTGTGTGGATGTGTGCGTGTGTGTGGATATGTACGTGTGTATCTGTGTGTGGATGTGGGGTGTGTGGATGTGGGGTGTGTGGATGTGTGTGTATCTGTGTGGATGTGGGGTGTGTGTAGGTGCATGTGTGTGAGGATGGGTGTGTGCATGTTTGTGTCTGTGGATGTGGGGTGTGTGGATGTGGGGGGGTGGATGTGGGGGGTGTGTGTGTGTGGATGTGGGCTATGAGTGTGCGTGGAGTGTGTAGAGAGTGGGTGTGTGCATGTGTATGTGTGTGTGTGGATGTGGGCTATGAGTGTGCATGGAGTGTGTAGAGAGTGGGTGTGTGCATGTGTATGTGTGTGTGTGGATGTGGGCTATGAGTGTGCGTGGAGTGTGTAGAGAGTGGGTGTGTGCATGTGTATGTGTGTGTGTGGATGTGGGCTGTGAGTGTGCGTGGAGTGTGTGTAGAGAGTGGGTGTGTGCATGTGGATGTGCGTGGAGTGTGTGTAGAGAGCGGGTGTGTGCATGTGGATGTGTGTGGTTGTGGGCTGTGAGTGTGCGTGGAGTGTGTGTAGAGAGCGGGTGTGTGCATGTGGATGTGTGTGGTTGTGGGCTGTGAGTGTGCATGGAGTGTGTGTAGAGAGTGGGTGTGTGCATGTGGATGTGTGTGGTTGTGGGCTGTGAGTGTGCGTGGAGTGTGTGTAGAGAGTGGGTGTGTGCATGTGGATGTGTGTGGATGTGGGCTGTGAGTGTGTGTGGAGTGTGTAGAGAGTGGGTGTGTGCATGTGGACGTCTGCATGTGTGCGTATGTTTAGCAGCAGGCATTTTTTAATGAAATATTGCTCAGAACCAAATATTAAAAGCCTATTAAAGGTTTCATGGTGATTGGGGACCCAGAGCCCCGTCTTGGAGTCTCCCCTCCCCCATCCCCGAACTTCCTAACTTTGTGCCCCACTGTGGCTCCTCAGACACCTCCGGGGACACCCCAGTCCTTGACTGCAAGGTGAAAACCCCTGCTAGGAGCTCTGTCCCCACACCTGCCCCGGGTGCTGTGGTGCAGCCCGCTGGACATTCTCAGGATCCCTGTGTCACCTCATTGGTACCTGTGGTAAACATGGGAACACTGTTGACCTCTGGTTGGGATGAGGGTTTGGCAGAGAACGTTCAAACCAGCGCACAGCCTTCTGGGTGACTTTGGGAGGAGAGGTTGGCGGGCCCAGGCACAGGGTCACTCAGACCCCCTGCCTCCCACAGCTCTGCGTCCACGACAACTACAGAAACAACCCCTTCCACAACTTCCGGCACTGCTTCTGCGTGGCCCAGATGATGTACAGCATGGTCTGGCTCTGTGGCCTCCAGGTGGGTCCTGCCCGCCGCACACCCAGACCTCCACCCTCGGGGGTCAGATGGAAGCCCCTTCCAGGCAGTGGCAGCCCCATCCCACCAAGAGAGCCACAGGTGTGGTGTCCCCAGCCGCTCCGCCCCTCCTAGGAAAGCACCCCCCCCACCACTGTCAGTCTCCCCATGGGCGAGGCTGCTCCTAGGATTACATGAGCAGGTGCGCCCCCAACCTGGTCACCCGTCCACCCCCACAGGAAGGCTGGTCCCCTCCCACCATGCCAGGAGACTCCACATGGCTGCAGGGGCCTTTGTCCCCACGTTACCACTCCCCCAATTCCACCCCCCTCATCCCATCCCACCCTCCGAGTGAAGAGGGCAAACACCTGCGCCCTGTTTTCCAATCCAGGAGAAGTTCTCACAAACGGATATCCTGATCCTAATGACAGCGGCCATCTGCCACGATCTGGACCATCCCGGCTACAACAACACGTATGTACAGGATTTTCTCTTGTTTTCCTTTTAAAAGGCACCCTGGCTCCTGGAGGGAACCCTTCAGCCCAACCCTCAGAGCAGTCCCCAGAAGGAGCTGTCAGCGACGGCCTCCCAGCCCAGCTCTGCCTCCACTGACACAGCTCCCGGCTTCCGGACTTTGCCCAGGGCCTCGGGTCTCCCCGGAGTAGGAACTGTTAGGATTATCAAACCCCAGGGGGACTTTCCCACCCCTGCGCGGGCCTGGTCCAGGCTCAGGTGCACGGCAGAGCTCTGGCCACGCCGGCGCCTTCTCCACCCCAGGCAGGGAGCAATGCCTGTGGGCACGCGGGGATGGGGGCTCCACACACCCTCTCAGGAGCTCGTCTCTCCCCGGGCAGGCTTCCAGCTGGCTTCTGCAGGGAAGGCAGAGGCAGGGGCCAGAAGAGAGTGAGAAAAGGGGCTGCAGAACGACAGGAGGTGGGAGTGAGGTGTCCCTTGTGGGGCCAGGGATCAGAAGGACAGACCATTGCTCCACTCCTGCCTCCACAGGCACAGAAGACCATGGCAGACATGGTCCAGGCCGTGGGCTTGGGTTTGTGTCCACAGTGGCACAGCAGCTCTCTGTTGAATTGTGTGTTTGTGTGACGACGTCATCACAGGCCTGAGAGCTCTGCTGCCGTGTGTCGGCACCTAGTGGGTTCCAAGGTGCGGCAGTCGGCGATTCTCCCGGGGCCATCACCACGCACACCCATCTGTTCTCCTTCTGCTCATTTCACACTCACAGCGGCTGGCACAGCACAGGCCAGCAGAGGCCTTGACCACAGCATCGCAGTGAACCACAGCTGGTTCTGCCCACCTGCCTCTGGCACCTGGTGTCATTTGACAATTTCACAAGAGGCCGTGATGCCTCAGGGCCTGTCCCAGGGAGCGTGCTGCTTCCTCAGAGGGGTCCTGGGACTGCAGGAGCATGGGGACGTGAAGTTGCAGGGGCAGCCGAGCAGCAGGAGGGACCTTCTGGGTGGGGCAGGGCACAGGCAGCTCCCCCAGCCCCCACGGCACTTTTTCCCCGACTCAACTCCACTTACATGCCTGGGCGTTGCTCCCCAGTGCAGGTGCCTGGTGAGGGCTCCTGAGTCTCCCCTCACTCTCTCCTCGCCTCCCAGGTACCAGATCAACGCCCGCACAGAGCTGGCGGTTCGCTACAATGACATCTCGCCGCTGGAGAACCACCACTGCGCCGTGGCCTTCCAGATCCTCGCTGAGCCCGAGTGCAACATCTTCTCCAACATCCCACCTGATGGGTTCAAGCAGATCCGACAGGTGCGCGGGCACATTCAGGGACAGCAGCCCCCATTCTCCACTGGCTGGAGGCTCCCAGAAGCTCCTGGCCACAGCAGTGCCCTGCGGACCCAGGGGAACCCCTCCCTCCTTCCTCACCTTCTCCAGGGCCCAGAGTGGAGCCCCAAAAAGAGGGTACCCTCACCATGCACACGTGTATCCCACTGACCTGCACTTCCCAGCCTCTATTAATTGAGCCTTCACTGGCTCCCTCTGAGATAAATCCTTTGTCCATCTTCCAGTCCAAGAAACTGAGGCTTAGCGAAGATAGGGAGCCTGCCCAAGGAGGGGGCGGGCCCTGGACAGACACATCTGCTGCATCCAACATAGGAGAGCTACCCTGCTCCATAACCCCAGCTGCTGTCACCTGCTACCCACAGCCCAGTCAGCCCCCTTCCATTTCTTTTTTTTTTTTTTCTTCTAAGAGTTTCGCTCTGTTGCTCAGGCTGGAGTGTAATGGTGCAATCTCAGCTCACTGCAATCTCCACCTCCTGGGTTCAAGCAATTCTCCTGCCTCAGCCTCCCAAATAGCTGGGATTACAGGTGTGCGCCACCACACTCGGCTAATTTTCGGTATTTTTAGTAGAGATGGGGTTTCACCATGTTGGCCAGGCTGGTCTTGAACTCCAGACCTCAGGTGATCCACCTGCCTCGACCTCCCAAAGTGCTGGGATTACAGGCATGAGCCACCGCGCCCAGCCGCCCCTTCCGTTTTAGATAAGGGGGCTTTCTGCCTCTCAAGGTGTGATGGGAGGAGAGTGAGAGGGACATCTGCGTGAGAGGAAGATGACCCAGTCCACCTGCCCCAGACAAACACCTCCAGCTCACTGAAATAACGCCCCCTTCCACACGGGAATTCCTCATCAAACCCTCACTCTCCGACGTTTGCAGGGGAGGGAAGCTCTCAGAGTAACCTCTGGGAGAAATGTGTGGGGTGAATAGTAGCGTCCTTCAAACAAGGCCCACCTCCCGTGAGTGTGATCTTATTTGGAAAAGGGTCTTTGCGTTTGTACTTGTTAAGATCTCCAGATAAGATCAGTGTGGCTTGTCCAAGGGGGCCCTAAATCCAAAGACTAGTGTCCTTGGACAAGACAGAGGAGCAAAGAGTCCAGACACAGAGGAGAAGGCAGCGTGAAGATGCGGTGAGTGGAGACTGGAGTGATGCAGCCCTAAACCAAGGGACTCCCGGTCTCCCGGGACCAGGAGGAGACAAGGAAGGACCCTCCCCTGGAGTCTTCGGAGAGAGCAGGGCCCTGTCCGCACCTTGATCTTGGTTCTGGCCTCCAGCACTGTGAGAGAATGAATGTTGTTTTAAGCTGCCTAGTTTGTGGTACTTTATGTGGCGGCCCCAGGACACTCACTCAGGGCACCGTTCCACAAGGCAGACCTCAGCCATTCGAAGTCTAAGTGGCTTCTTTCCAGAGGCAGCCAACAGAGACCGTCTGGACGCCAGCACTGGGAAAATACTCACCGCCCTCCCGGAGTGCTGCTGAGCCTCCTTTATCAGAGAGCAGCAGCCTCGTCGACCATGGCTTTCCAATTTGTCCACACTTCCAGGAGGTTCAAAGCCCAACGTAAAAAACTGAAGTCAGTGAAGCATTTGAGGAAGCTCTGAGGAAGCAGCACGCTCCCTGGGACGGGGCCCTGAGGCATCATGGCCTCTTGCAAAATTGTCAAATGACACCAGGCGCCAGAGGCAGGGGTGGGCAGAACCAGCTGTGGTACACTGGGATGCTGTGGTCAAGGCCTCTGCTGGCCTGTGCTGTGCCGGCCACTGGGAGTGTGAAATGAGCAGAAGGAGAACAGATGGGTGTACATGGTGATGGCCCCGGGAGGAGCACGGACAGCCGCACCTCAGAACCCACCAGGCCTGACATGGCAGCAGCGCTCTCTGGCCTGTGACGACATCATTGCACAAACATACACAATTCAGCAGACAATTTACAGTCATTATTGAATCACCGGTTCCCAGTACAGTTATCTCCCCTTTATCTATAGGCTCTCTGGCCTCTCCTCCATGTTTGTGCCCCTCCCCACCCTGCAAGCAGGTGCCCTGTGTGGCTATAAGCTGTGGCAAATCTTCGTCTGCAGTAGGTCAAGGGGCATCCGTGAAGAGAGAACACCGCATCTGCCACTGCTGCCCCAGTGGGGAGCTCCTCCAGGGACAGGACCCGGGGAATCAAAGGAAGTGAACGCCCCTTAGTGTAGGCTTCGTCCCACTGAGCTGTGTCGGAGAGCATCCCGCAAGAGAAGGAGGCGGCACCCGACTGGAGAAGCAGCCCCTCTGCACACGGGATCGTCCTCGTGCCCGGCCACCGTGGGGACACACCAGCGTTGGCTGCTTCAAATGCTTCACTGACTGCAAAATGTGACTCTCTTCTGGGGGTAAAATTCGTTGTCCCACTTTTTAAAAAATATATTTTGTCATGGAAGATTTCAGGAATAACCGAATAAATGCTTCACTAATAACACAATTCAATGTTTACAGGAAAATTGAATAATTCAAGATGCAAGTGGTGTCCCCCTCAAAAATATATGTATACATTTGAAATGACCTAGATTGATGGGTCTGGGTTTTGTATCTGATGCTTGTGGTTTTATGTTCTTGGAAGAGGAAAATATCATACCTGGCACAGAGGTGTGTTCTGTAAATGCTTGAGGGGTGGGTGGATGGATGGATGGATGGATGGATGGATGGATGGATGGACGGACAGATGGGTGGGTGGGTGGATGGATGGATAAATGGATGGAAGGGTGGATGGATGGAAGGACAGATGGGTGGATAGATGGATGGATAAATGGATGGAAGGGCGGATGGAAGGATGGACAGATGGGTGGATGGATGGATGGATGGATGGATGGATGGATGGATGGATGGATGGAAGGATGGACAGATGGGTGGATGGATGGATGGATGAATGGATGGATGGATGGATGGATGGATAAATGGATGGAAGGGCGGATGGAAGAATGGATGGGTGGATGGGTAGAGGGATGGATAGAGGATGAATGGGTGGGTGGATGGATGGACGGACGGACGGACGGATGGATGGATGGATGGATGGATGGATGGATAGATGTGTTTTTTGGGTGAATGGATGGATGTGTGGACAAATGGATGGATGGGTGATGGATGCACATATGAATCAGAATGAGGGATACATGAAATAATGTGTGCAGGGGGCTCAGTAGGCCTCCGTTGAATACTTGTTGGGATTATGCCAGTGTTAACGCTTTGTTCTTTCACTATTTAGGGAATGATCACGTTAATCTTGGCCACTGACATGGCAAGACATGCAGAAATTATGGATTCTTTCAAAGAGAAAATGGAGAATTTTGACTACAGCAATGAGGAGCACATGACCCTGGTGAGTGGCTTGTTCTGCCTGTGTGGGCAGCCAGGCGGTGGGCTGGTTGAGTGGGTCATCCATCCAGCTCACGCTGGAAGCCAAGAAGCCAAAAGTATTAGTCTTGCCTTGAAACATGGTATCTATAAATCTGGTTTTCAAGGTCATGACTCTTACTAGGAAAGTCCCGGGCAGGGCCTCCCTCCTGACAGAGCCTCCTTCATGGTCGGAGGCGGCACTCTCCCATTCCTCCATCTCTTTTGGATTTGAGGGAGATAAGTGGGTGAAGGCCATGCATCTCGCTCTGCTTTCCAGAGAATAAAACCAGCTCTCCCATGAAGGCACAGCCCCAGCCCATCTCTGTGGGGGCAACTCCAACACAGTCCCTGCTCCCCAAGCCGGCATCCCCCCCAGGCCCACACCATAGCCCGGCACCCCTCTATCACCAGGACAAGGTGGCCAGAGAAGGGGTAGGGGGCCTCCCCCATGAGAAGGTGCAGCATCTTCCTTTCGGAAAGGGCAGGCACTGGGCACCCCAAGGCACACAAGGACCGGAGCACGACTCATGCCTGGAATCCAGCACTTTGGGAGGCCATGGCGGGAGGATTGCTTGAGTCCAGAAGTTTGAGACCAGTCTGAGCAACATTAGCAGACTCTATCTCCACAAAAAAAGAAAAGTCAAAAAATCAGTGCATACCTGTGGTCCCAACTGCTTGGGAGGTGGAGGTGGGAGGGTCGCAGGAGCCCAGGTCCAGGCTGCAGTGAGCCACGGTCGTTCCACCGCACTCCAGCCTGGGCAACAGAGCAAGGGTCTGTCTCAAAAAACAGAGAGAGAGGTGCATGAGAACTGCTCTCCCAGTCTTCAAAGAGAAAGCTGGTTTTGTGGAACCTTGTCTAAGCATCGGGTACACCCCTGGCATTCTTACTCTGAAATTTGATTGTTTAAAATCAATAGCATCAGCCGGGTGCGGTGGCTCAAGCCTGTAATCCCAGCACTTTGGGAGGCCGAGATGGGCAGATCACGAGGTCAGGAGATCGAAATCATCCTGGCTAACACGGTGAAACCCCGTCTCTACTAAAAAATACGAAAAACTAGCCGAGCGAGGTGGCGGGTGCCTGTAGTCCCAGCTACCCGGGAGGCTGAGGCAGGAGAATGGCGTGAACCCGGGAGGCGGAGCTTGCAGTGAGCCGAGATCACGCCACTGCACTCCAGCCTGGGAGCACAGCGAGACTCCGTCTCAAAAAAAAAAAAAAAAAAAAATCAATAGCATCACTTTCCACCTCCAGAGAGGTTGAAAAATAGGGAACTCTTGGCTCAGGCTGAGCTTCTAACCACCCAGTCCCCGTAGGTGGAGTCTTTAGGACTCAGCTCTCTGGAGCTGAGGTGCAGTTAATTCCCAAAGGCTGTGCGAGAGGACGGGAGCTCCCGCAGGCAAGGGCTGGACAGTAGGCAAACCTCCCCAGGCCAGGGCCTCCAGAAGCCCCTTCCCCGAGAGGGAAACAGACGCATGGAACAGCTTCCTGGCAAGCAAGTTCCTCGCTCCCGAAAAACCAAAGGAAGGCGGGAGGCACCGCCTTGTCCTCTTAGATATGAGGAAGGCAGGGATGGACCTGCAGGCAGGGGTGACCCACTCCCCACTGATGCCTTCTTCCTCCCTCTGAGGTGGGAGGAGAGGTCAGGGAAGAGACGGGGAGGGGCAGGATGCCGGAGGATCGGGTGCCAGGTGGTCAGGACCTCTGAGCCCTGCTGAAGGTCCCCACTCCCACCCCCAGCCTTACACACTGCAGCTGTGCAGACCAGAGGCAAAGTGAGGCTCAGAGCCCAGGTTTCCGTTTATCCCAACGACCGGCACCGGGCGGGGTCAGATGACAAGCAGCACAGCCAGGGATCCTCTCACTGCTGGGGAGCCCCAGACGGGGCTTCATGAACACTGGAGGACAGAGGTGGGGGGAAGGTCTCGGGGGGAAAAGGTTCTGAGTCAAAGTGGGCCCCAATAAGGAGGCCTCCAAGGGGAGTGCAGGCTGACATGGGAGGTGTGAGGTGCAGGGAGTGTGGCCGGCAGGGCCTGGGACCTTGACCTTCCCCAGAGACAGTGCTGCCCTGGCCCTGTACCAGGTCTGGTGTGGGGACAGCTCCCCCAGGGCCTGCCAGGCACAGGCTAGTAATTGCCTCTGGTCTGGAGCCGGACTCCACAGAGGAGTCAAAGAAAGGCCTAGATGGCTTCCTGGGAACTGATAGGGTGGGGAAAGGAAGGGTGACCACAGCAGGGTCCCTTCGAGGTCCCGCCCAGGTTGGAAGGCAGGATCCACCAAGCATCGTGCAGACACCCAGCTGAACTGACCTGCCCCTCACCTAGTCACATTCCCCAAACCAGCAGGTGCAGCCCCACAGCCGGGGGCCATGTGCCTCAGCTGGGCTTTCCTGTCGAATCAGCTTCAGAGCCTGGACGGCAGCCAACACTTTGACCTGGAAACCTGGTGATTCCAGACAGTCATTTGTGCCCGGTGCAGGCAGGGCTGCGGGACACCAGCCCTCCACGGTCTGTCCTATGGTGACATCCAGGCTAGTTCGGGTGGAAGCTGCTGCATCCCTGGGTCTACCCTATCTCCTCCTGAAGCTCCCATGGTGTGCCCAACCCTGGCCAAGCTCGGACGGAGCTACCTGTCCCCTGGGAAGATGAGCAGTGCACCCACCTGGGGAACAGTAGCAAATAGGGGGTGACCAGGCACGGGGCAGTGCTCCGGGGATATCACCTGGGCTGGAATGGCGAGAAAGGCTGGAAGGAGGGGACCCAAACAGGACCCTGAAGGTTCATTCTCCATTGAGAAGGGAGCCTGCCCTCCCTGAAGTCAGCCAAGCTCAGTTGCATGGTCCAGCTGCACGGTCCTCCCTCTCTTCCTGCCTGTAATGGCACGTCCAGACCTGAGCAGCTCAGCAGGCCATGTGCTACCTCCTGTTACCTCAATTCCAAAATCTCTTCTTTCAGCTGAAGATGATTTTGATAAAATGCTGTGATATCTCTAACGAGGTCCGTCCAATGGAAGTCGCAGAGCCCTGGGTGGACTGTTTATTAGAGGAATATTTTATGCAGGTAAGAGTCTTGCAGAGCAATCAAGCCTCCAGCCAGTCTTACTAACCCCACTTAGTAAGGGTTTGCGTGAAACAGCATGCCAGGGTGGACCCGCATGTTCACCGGGCCGCGGACACTTCAGCCTCCAGAAAGCCTTCACGGCAGGCGTCCATCAGAAACAAAATAGGTTATAATTTGAGACCTGAAAGAGAGTGACAATCCAGAAAAGCTAATGTCCTAAAACTGCCACCTGTCACTGCTAATTGAACCGTTATTAGAAGCAGCCTTGTCAAGCCAATTGCCTGAAAGTCAAGAAGCGAGAATTGCAGAGGCAGGAGGGGCCCCCAGAGGGCTGAGGCCCAGCAGGTCAGCTCACACAGATGGCCACGGGGAAGATCGGGGACGTAGAAAACCAAGCCAGCTGAAAACAACCACCAAATGTTAATACAGCAGCTTGATCAAGCCTAGGAGAACTCGGGAGGCTTTCTGCAGGACGCCTCTGCCGTCCTGTGTTACGTGCAGCTTACCTCTGTCTGTCTCTCATCTCGGTCTTCCCAGCTAGACCTGCATGCCCAGCTCTGTTTAGCACTGAAGATACTGTCGCCCTCGCCTTGTTCTTTACTGAGACACATTTGTGGTGTGGTTTGGTTGGTTGGTGGTTAACTGGCGCATCTTGTCTTTCTCTGAGAACAGCGATCTGGTTCTGGGGCATTTCTGTCTTTAATGTCGCTATCTGCTGCATTCCCTGCAGAGCGACCGGGAGAAGTCAGAAGGCCTTCCCGTGGCCCCCTTCATGGACCGAGACAAAGTGACCAAGGCCACAGCCCAGATTGGGTTTATCAAGTTTGTCCTGATCCCAATGTTTGAAACAGTGACTAAGGTGAGTAACTGTTACCACGTGTGACACTTGCATACACTCAGATACACAGACCCACGCAGGCACACAGGCACACATAGACACACAGGCACACGCAGGCACACAGGCACACACAGACACACAGGCACACACAGGCACACAGGCACACACAGACACACAGGCACACGCAGGCACACACAGGCACATGCACACAGGCACACACATGCACACACAGGTATGCACATGCACACACACAGGTACACACGCACACAGGAACACACACACAGGTACACACACACACAGGCACACACACAGGTACACACACAGGTACACACACACACAGGCACACCTGCACATCCTGAGCAGCCTCTTCCCCGGCTGTCGTGGTGACCGCTGTCCCTGCTCCATCCAGAGCCTGCTCCCCACAGCCTGGCCCGTGACCCCAGCATCTCCCACTGTGTACTGCACTCCCTGCCTTGCCTCGCTGGGCCCTGGGGGGGCCCCTCATTGCCCTCCTGCATCACTGCTGGCCTTCAGGTCCCTGGAGGCAGCACCAGCTGTTGACTCTCCTGTCCCCTCTCTGTGTCCCAGTTCCACCGATCCTCACCTGTGGAGGAACCACTGAGCTCTGTGCCCTCGAGCTGTGAAGCCCCCATCCAGCTCCCAGTCTCACCGCACCCAGCCACCGAGGCCTTGCTCCCTGCACACAGCTCGTTCCTGCCCAGCTCCCCCCAGGGCCCCTGAGCTGCCTGTGGCCCCTGCCAAGGCCCCACCTCAAGGCACCCCCAGCGTGTGCAAAACAGGCCCCATCTCTTGTTTCCCCCGGGGGTCTGGGCTCACAGCCTTGCACCCTCCGACCTTCCTGGGCTCCCAAGTGCTGTGGATCCTTCTGCTCCAGGGCATCTGGAGCCGCCCCCACCCACTTCCCACTCCCAGGACCCTCAGCCGGGAGGCTGTCGGCTCCGTTCCCCTGCCCCTCGTCTTTGTTAGAACCTCAGAACCTGTCCCCAACCCTCATCTCACGGGCACGGGGGACACAGGAGGCGGGGGGAGGGGGGCACTTTCTGTAGGACCTCATGGAGGGTGATGAGGGCCAGGGACAGAGCCGCAGCGGGTGGGGGCAGCAGAGCCGGCAGGAGGGTGTCCAGGAGCTGGGACTGGCCCACATGCTTCTGCACAGTGCACCTGACACCTGTTTTTCTCCAACGTTTCCCACTGCCTTAAGAACGGGGGACTCTGAATGAATCCGTTTTTCTCTCCCAGCTCTTCCCTGTGGTTGAGGAGATCATGCTGCAGCCGCTTTGGGAATCCCGAGATCGCTACGAGGAACTAAAGCGGATAGACGACGCCATGAAAGAGGTAAAACGCACCGAGAAGAACCTTCCTTCCCTGTGGCAAGCAGGCACAGCGCCCTCCGCGCTCCTGACTCCAGAATCTTGGACGTGCCAAGCAGGGCACCCCTGAAGGTGACCCCATGGACAGGCGCACGTGTCCCTTCCATCAGAAAGCCTGGCTCCGTGAAATTAGGGAATGTGATACGGGAAACCAAAACTGCATTCGCCAAGAACGCGTCAGGGCTCAGAACCTTCGAGGGAGTTTACTGGCCATGCCCTTCACAAAAATCACAACTGTCACCCATATCTGTGGGCACCCAGGTGTCCTTGGGCGTATCAGCCACTGTTAGAGCATCTGGGACCCCTCTGTGTAGAGCGCCTGGCCTGGCCCCAGGGCTGACTTGTTCAGACGAGGCCATGGGCTAGAAAGGGGCCCTCCCCTGGCACAGGGGCAAAGCGACCACCCACCTGCCAGCTTCCGGGCCCAGAACACACACCAGCACCTCTCAGGGGACAGGGAGCCTGGGGCTGGCTTTCGGTTGCTGTTGGATTGACATTGTTTTGGAGGAAGGGGTCAGGGTCACAGGCTCAGGGCCCACGCAGTCTTTCCACAGATTCCCCCGGCTGTCTGCTGTCCAGCCACCCATGGTGTGGCCTCTGCCCCGCCCTCCTGCCTCCTCCCCTCAGCGCCCCCGTGCAGCTAGAACAGCCCCACTACTCCTGCAGACTTTGACGCCTCCTGGCCTTGGCTGGTGTTGCCCCTGCCACCTCCCCTCCCCACAGTGCCCTTTGTACCATTGAAGCACCCTCCAAGGCCCATCAGTCAGTGCTCCCCTAGTTACTGTGCCCGCCACACCGTCTTTTCTGCCTGGGCGCTCCTGAAGCCCATGTGGCCCATGATGCCCTTTTGAGCACTGAGCCATTGTCCAGGCGTAGCTTTGTGTTGGTCTCATCTCCCTCGACTGACGGCCCCGTGCCCACGCCCGCCTGGGGCGCCAGGCCAGGCACGTGGTAGATGCCCAGCAATTGCTTAGAAATTGACTGAAAATCCAGAGCAGCTGCCCTGACTTCTCCAGCTGATGGAAAGTCGCAGAAAGGTCTCCAAACCTCTGCAAGGCTGAGAGCACTTACGCAGATGTAGCACTACTTACAGATGTAGCAAGACGGCTTCTCCTACTCCAGAGCCCCACAGGAGAGCTGAGGGGGCTTCTGCCTTTCTCGTGGCCCTCTGAGAGCCATAGCCCTGATGGCCGTGAGTCTCTAGTCCCGAGCCCTGCTGCCCAGTAGGGGACACTAGGGTTCTTCAAGGCCTCTGCCTTCCCCCTCTCAGCCCCCACAAAAAGGACAGTCACACCAAAGAGGTGAAAAGGCCCAAGTCACAGGCTCTGCACACACCACCAATCCCTGCGGCTGTGGTGGCTGCGGCTGGGTGAGCTCACTGTCCAGGCCCCGGATGAGGCACCACGGGTACCAGGACAGGGTACACAGAGGTGCCTCTGAAAAACCCGTGTCAGGAGCACTGGGCTCACAGGGGCTGGAGACCACAGGCTTTCACACTGCAGCACCTCCAGGCGACAGAAGCTGCTGGAAGACAGGCAGACACTCCCCTGCTGTCTCCTGCTCCCTGACTTGGCCTTCTCTGCACTTTGTTCCAGTTACAGAAGAAGACTGACAGCTTGACGTCTGGAGCCACCGAGAAGTCCAGAGAGAGAAGCAGAGATGTGAAACACAGTGAAGGTAACGCCGTCTCTGCTGACGTGGCGTCAGTCCATACCGTGATTCCGACAAAGGACCGAAGGAAGAGGAAGGCGAGAAAATCTGAATTTTGGAATACCTTTAAATGAACGGATTTTTTTTTTTTTTCTGAGACGAATTCTCGCTGTTGTTGCCCAGGCTAGAGTGCAATGGTGCAATCTCGGCTCACTGAAACCTCCACCTCCCGGGTTCAAGCAATTCTCCTGCCTCGGCCCTCTGAGTAGCTGGGATTATAGGCGTGCGCCACCACACCTGGCTAGTTTTTGTGTTTTTAGTAGAGACAGGGTTTCACCGTGTTGCCCAGGCTGGTCTTGAACTCCTGGCCTCAAGTGACTCACCTGCCTCTGCCTCCCAAAGTGCTAGGATTACAGGCGTGAGCCACTGCGCCCGGCCAAATGAATGGAAATTTTATTCCTTGCATCTAATCATTAGAATTAGGCTCTTAAGCCTGGTGGCTCATGCCTATAATCTCAGTACTTTGGGAGGCCGAGGTGGGCAGATCACTTGAGGTCAGGAGTTCGAGACCCAGCTTGGCCAACATGCTGAAACCCCATCTCTACTAAAAATACAAAAATTACCCAGGTGTGATGGCACATACCTGTAGTCCCAGCTACTTGGGAGACTGAGGCAGGAGAGTCACTCGAACCTGGGAGGCGAAGCTTGCAGTGAGCCGAGATTGCGCTACTGCACTCCAGCCTGGGCAACAGCAAGACTCCATCTCAAAAGAAAAAAAAAGAATGAGGCTCTTAAAGAAGGGGAACATGGTTTAGTTAATAGAAAAACATCAATAATTAGCATATGCATCACTTATAAGAGTAAGGACTTTTTAGAAGTGCAATTGAAGTACTGAAAACTTCACAAATCACGTGTTGGCTTTCTGTGGCTTTGAGAGTTTCTCTCTGCACTTGTTGATATAGTTATTCAGCTCACGGGGAATGCAGAGCAGCCATTTGTTCACCTCATAATAAGGTCACACTGTACATGTCTAACAGATAATTCAAGAGAGAGTGCATCAAGCATGTAAGGCTCAGGGCAGGACAAACGGAACATGACTTACAAGTGGGGCAGCAACAGGCTTTGGCGTCCAACACACCTGGTTTTGAGTCCAGGCTTGCCAATTACAAGCTGAGAGACGTGCACAAGTGTCTCAGCCTCTCTGAACCTCAGAGCCCCAGTCTCTAAACCAGAGGTAATAATACCATTGTCACTGCTGTTTTAGTGACTAAACAGTCAAAGTGCAGGTCTGGTCCCTGTGAAGGGCTCAGTCAATGTTGGTATTTAATTTTTTAAGTCAGTTCGTATTTTTCAGTGGCTCAGAAAAGGGATCAATATTGTTTTATTTTGCCTAAATGTATTCAGCAATATATCTGATGGCCTCTTTCTTTTAAAATGGGCTGTGTGTCGGCCGGGTGCGGTGGTTCACGCCTGTAATCCCAGCACTTTGGGAGGCTGAGGCAGGCAGATCACTTGAGGTCAGGAGTTTTAAACCAGCCTGGCCAACATGGTGAAACCCCATCTCTACTAAAAACACAAAAATTAGCCAGCCGTAGTGGCGCGTGCCTGTAATCCCAGCTACCTGGGAGCCAGAGGCAGGAGAATTGCCTGAACCCAGGAGGTGGTGGTTGCAGTGAGCCGAGATCATGCCACTGCACTCCAGCCTGGGCAACAGGGCCAGACTCTGTCTCAAAAAAAAAAAAAAGGCTGTGTATAATCCTGTTACGTTTCTGCGACTGCTGGTGCTTTTTTTCATCTTGTTTTTTGAGATGGAGTCTCACTCTGTTGCCCAGGCTGAAGTGCAGTGGTGCGATTTCAGTTCACTGTAACCTCAACCTCCCGGGTTCAAGCGATTCTCCTGCCTCAGCCTCCCAGGTAGCTGGGATTACAGGCATGTGCCACCACACCTGGCTAAGTTTTGTATTTTTAGTAGAGACAGGGTTTCACCATGTTGGTCAGGCTGGGCTCAAACTCCTGACCTCGTGATCCACCCGCCTTGGTCTCCCAAAGCGCTGGGATTCTAGGCGTGAGCCACCGCGCCCTATTCCTAAAAAAAACAAATCAGTCATCTTTCCCTTCTTCCAGGAGACTGTGCCTGAGGAAACTGAGGGGCGTGGCTGCGGTTCCGGACGGGCTAGCAGAGCTGCACGGGATCCTTGTGCGGGAAGAGCTGCCCTGAGCACCTGGCACCACAAGACCACGTTTTCTAAGAAACATTTTGTTCACTGATACAAAAAAAAAAAAAAAAGGAATTCATGATGCTGTACAGAATTTTATTTTTAAACTGTCTTTTAAATAATATATTCTTATACGGAAATGGGTACTGTACTTCTTCTTTGCTAGAGTTGTGTACGCTGCTTCCGGTAAGTTCTCTCGTGGAGACGAAGGACACTATGCTTTTCCCCCAGATGTATCTCAGAGCAATTGACCGGTGTGATACGGTGCGTACGTCCCTGTAAATTCAGCATTAAATGTCAGAACGGTGCCCTGAGCGCAAGGACGTGCCCGGGTCCTGTGTTTCTGAGCAGAGGGGGATGTCAGTGCTGTGTGCGGGACATCTGGGGACTGAGGCAGGTGGCCAGACTGTAGGACGTGTGTCGGAGCAAACGCACCCATGACCACGGGGACGACACACGCTGCGTGCTCCTGCGCAGGAAGACTGGTGACTTCACATTTAAATCCTCAGATAAGGAAAAGAGACATATGTATTCAGCACGTCTGAGGGTCTCTATCTTGGGAGGAGAGATGGCCCTCCCTCCAGCCTTTGTCTGGGTGGCACTGTGTCCACACGGGGGACCCAGCCCCCGGCTTGGTCACGGCCAGGCTCCTGTTGTTGCTGGGACAGTCGCACCCCTGAGCTCTCAGAGACTGCCTGCACACGGTGGACTCCTGGAGACCCGATTTATGAAAGCAAGGAAAAGTCCCCTGGGCCGTGGGCTCCATCTCTGCTGCGCTCTAGAGACTGAACCACCTCCCGACGCACTTCGCCCTACAGAGCTCGTCTGTAAAGGCCATCGGCGTGGTCGGAGCTTGGTCAACATTTCGTTTCTGTGTTGGGTCACTTTCCTCGGAGCATTTGTTTCCTCTTAGTGAATTCCAGAATATTCCCACCTTCAAATAATTCATTTTTTACCTGTAAAATTTTCCATCTCATCTTGACTCCAGCTCAATACGTATAGGGACCTTGATTTCTACACCCCTTCTTGTTTCTGCTTTTGTTTTTCGTTTGAATCCTACTAAAGCCAATAGATACGGCAACGTTGGCAAAAATAGAAGCAAAACGTAGGCTTGTGGATATTGATGCCCTCGACCTTCCTGCCAGCCTCTGTGAGGGATTATTACCTGCGCTCCTCATCCACAACAAGGCTCTATGAACAGCACCTTCATCTGCTACAGCACTTGGAATGCCCACCTCACCAAACTGCGCCCCTCATCAAACTCCATACAACACTTCCTTGAATTTTACTATCATAAACACACAATCACACACACACACGGACACGTACACGCTCTTACATGCCAGCACAACTCCCCTGGTTCTAGGCTGTACTGCATCCTGGAACAATTAAATCAAATGACTGAGGTCCATTAGGGGAGGTGTCTAGACGGCCTCTACTGTGAGTCCCGGTTCGTATGCAGCCAGCCTGGTCTCCATGCACGGGACCCCCAGAAAGCCCACCAACCCACCCTCCTGTCACGCACAGCAGTCCCTGAGGCCCCACAGTTGGGGGCCGTGTCCACCTTGGTCAGTCCGCGCACCCAGAGCCTACCCATACCGGGAGGCAGCCACACGGGTGAGCTGAATCATGGGCTACATGAGGGAGCGGAGGCTCAGGACAAGAGAGATGTGCCCACGGCCCCAGAGAGCTCTGGGTCCAGCAGCAGAGGCAGGTGTGGGGAACGCAGCACCCAGGCCTGGGGGTACACCCAGCATAGGGAGTGAGTGTGCAGACACAGGGGCCCACCCCCGTGAGCACAACCCACTGAACAAGACACCCCTCTGGGGTGGGCGGCACCATCTCCTCCCAGGACGGTGTGTTTCCAAGTGAACTCTGCCCAACAGTCAGTATTAAGTCAGCATGAAGGGTAAAGATGTTGACGGTTAAGCCGCACGCACGTCAGGAGACAGCAGCAGCAATGCCCGGGACTTTCCACCGTGAGCTCCCAGCACACAGCAAGCATCTCGCCAAAAACAACAGAAAGTTTGCAAAGGGAGGGCCGGTCTGGGCGCAGCCATCCCGTGTCACCTGTCATGTCTCAGACTTTGGCCGCCTCTCGCAGCTTCCTTTATTCGTAATGTCTAAAGCCAACCCAAGCGTCTTTGCCTGCTGACGTCTTAGCCAAAGCACATGGGAAACCCGTGAAGCAGAACTGACCGCTGTGAGGGCTGGGAGAACACTGGGCATCTGAAATACTTCAGCCCAGGAAAATGTCCATCAGTGGACACCATCGGCTCCCAGGTGGCCTCTGGAACAGGAAAGCAGTCACACCCTAGTCCATCCCACGGGAAGCCACGCCTCATTCCACTCTAGAGGCAGTGCCTGGGGCTGGATGCCCCTGAGCCGGGAGACACCGGGCAGTGCCCGGACAAGGCTGTGCTCTGCCCACAGCTCCTGCACTGTGGCCATGAGGGAGGTTTAAAAATCTCGGTCCAAGGGCTTTCACCGTAGTCTAAGGGACAGATAACATAGTCACTCTGAATTGGGAGGGGACTGTGTCCTATTGGTAACCAAAAGGGGCCCAGCAAGGTGCTGGGGTTCCAGTCTCCCTGAGTCCTCAGGCAGGTCTTCCCAGCCCCCACCCTGGGACTCCCCGCCCTGCCACAGGGGAACATGAGGGTCGGGGGTCCCCAGATTCCTGGGAGCTAGGGCCGGTGCCCTGCCAGAACACGGCGCTGTGGAACACGGCCTCAGGCAGCAGCCAGGGCCGGCGGGGGTGAGTCACCTTGTTACCAGCTGAATTCTCTCCCCAAAACTTACATCCAAGCCCAACCTGGTGCCTCCCAGTACTGTAGAGACAGCGCCTTTAAAAGGCAGTTAAGATAACATCAGCTCACGGGGTGAGCCCTGAGCCACTCTGAGTGTGTCTTACAAGAAGAGGAGATCTGGGCACAGATGCACACAGAGGGCACCGGGGGAGGACAGACCCCGACACACAGAGGAGTGGGGGCTCAGCGGAAGCCAGCCCTGTCAACCCTTGTCTCAGACTTTGAGAGATAAGTGTCTGTTGTTTAAGCCCCCAGCCAAGCTCCCACACACACACACCTGTGTGCCTCGCTAGGGCTGCCCGAGCGGACTCAACACACCACCCCTCCCTCACCACTGCCTCCCTGGGCAGCAACGTGGGCCCGGCTCACAATGGGCTCTGGAGACAGGTTGAGCTTGGGTTGACTGGGCCAGCACAGCATGATCTCTCTCTCCTTGCATGTGCATACGCTGGGACGCAGTTGCTCTGGGGCCAGCCCAATCCTGCAGAGCTCCCTTAAAGAACCTCCCTTAGGCAAAGCCATTATCATTTCCCTGCCCCAGCGCTGCCCAGAAGGCTGTTTCTCTCCAGCACTGAGGCCATGGGAGCCAGGAGAGGCAGCTTGAGGGAACGTCCAGGCCAGGCCTGTGGTTCACCCCTTACGAGGCGCAGGCAGTGAGGACGCAGCGAGGGGACAGGGGGCCTCAAAAGGAGAGGCTGCTCCCTCCGGAAGCCTCCGTCACGGAGTCCGTGCCAGCCGCCTGCAGGGCCTTTCCGCCCAAGGACCCGTGGACCCAGCCGCCACCACGGCCAGCATGGGATGGGGTCATCGAGCCCAAATCCAAGCCCTCTGACCTCAGTTCCTCACCGCCAAGGTCGAGTTAGGATTCCAGCCGAATCACAGTGAGACCACAGGAGGCCGATGGGGGAAATTATTTTCATTATTTGTACTGTAGTTTCCAATTTTTCCACAACTGGCTTTCCTTTCATGAATAAAATAAATAAACGTTATTTTATTTTAGAGCTGGGGTGTGGAAATAGCAACGTGTAACCTGCAGGGAGAAGGCCTGAGATGTGCAGAGGAAGCCAAGGTGACTGTGTCCACAAGTGGCAAGGCCAGCACCTGCTGGCGTCTCAGCCCGTCCCGTGACTGTGGCAACAGGGATTTCCCACCGCTCTGAGCCGGCTGACTCGGTGTCTGGTGAGGGTTCCCAGACAGCGCGGGAAAGGGCCCACCAGCTGTCAGTGGGGGGATCTCTTTCCTAAGGGCGCCATCCTCATGCCAAGTGATCCACTCCTAATACCACCAACCTAGGTCTGGCTTCAACATCACAGACGTTCGGCCCACCAGGAGCTGGGAGAGACAGGAAGGACCCCCACCCCTACCCCGCAGCCTTCGGAGGACAGGAAGGAGCCCCTGCAGCCTTCGGAGGGAGCATGGCCCTGCCAACCCGTGACTTCAGCCTTCTGGCCTCCAGAGCTGTGAGAGATGAGCTTCTGCTGTTGAAGGCTCCCTCTGGGGTCGTTTGTTTGGGCCGCCTGGGGAAGCACACACAAGCGGTCACTGAGTGATGATCGTCGTCCTAATCCTCATCCTGACAACTGCTCGCTCTGACCCTGCGTTTCCGCAGCACCCCGCCCCCAGCCCTGGGCTGTTCAGGAGCCCCTCCCCACAGCAAGCCCTGAGCGGCTTCATTGTCATCAGTAACCCCTAGTGCCCCATTTGCAGAGAGGGCCACAGGCACAGAGAGGCGCACCAGGTCACAGAGCCGCGGAGCCCCAGAGCAGGCGCAACAGCAGCCCTCCCAGGAGAGCTCCCCCCCTCACCCCTGGACAGGGTTCCTGGGAGCCACGTGGCTGGGGAAGGCTGCGGAGCCCGGCACAGGGAACAAGGAGACTGGGAAAGGGGAGGACGATGAGTGTGGCTGCAGCATGTCAGGTCTGAGTCACGGACAGGCCCCGGGTGGATGCTGGCAGAGAGCAGGGGCTGCCGTTCACCAAGCGCACGTGCCCGGGGCGCAAACCAGAGACCGGAACGGGCAGCTGGCGTGTGGATGCGTGGGCGATGGTCAACGGAGGCACCACCTTGACCTGGCCCAAACGTGATTCTGGGTGTTTCTAGGAGGGTGCTCTGCGGGGATGAGATTAGCCTCTAAATGGTAGACTTTGAGTAAAGCAGGCTGCCCTCCTAATGCGGGCGGGCCTCGTCCGCTCTGGAGAGGGTCTGGGTAGACCAAGGCTGATACCCCAGCAAAAGGGAGCCTCTGCACCCGGGCTGGCCTCAGGCTGCCACGCCCCCCTCGCCTGCAGCCTACCAGCCTCGCCCACCAGATTTCAGACCTGCCAGGCTCC